ATTGCGACATTTAAAACAAATATATCTCCGGAGCCACGATCTGACAGCAGGCGGGAAGGTGATGTCGGGACGGTGCGTGACTAACTCACGCACCGCCCCCATGCGACGTCACAGCCAGTACAGCGCCCGCCACAGTGGGGAGTTTCGGGGCGCACAATGCGCCTCCTCCCCTCGCTAGTATCTGACCCGGAGCCGCGTCAAAGGTGTAAAAGAGCCAGATGCGGCTCCGGAGCCGCGGGTTGCAGACCCCTGGTCTAAAGTAAAAGTCAGAGCTAAACATTATAAGTTAAGAGCATTTGCAGATGACCTAGTATTGACTTTGCAAGAGCCAATCACTAGTACGAAAAAGGTTCTAGAAATAATCCAACAGTTTGGCCAGGTAGCTGGATTTAAGTTGAATAAACAAAAAACCAAAGTCTTAGGAAAAAATTTAACAGATATGGAAAAGGAGAAATTCCAAGAGGAGACAGGGTTGACGGTGGTTAAGAAGGTGAAATACCTAGGGGTTTATTTGACATCTAAAAATGTGAATTTGTATAAGGATAATTATGAAAAATGTTGGTCAGAGATCAAAAAAGATCTAGAAATATGGTCAAATTTGAAATTGTCAATGTTAGGCCGAATTGCAGTGATTAAAATGAATGTATTGCCTAGTATGTTATTTTTGTTTCAGACCTTGCAGATTCTTGACAAGATGGAATGTTTTAAGAGGTGGCAGAAAGATATTTCGAAATTTGTCTGGCAGGGCAAAAAGCCCAGAATCAAATTTAAAATATTGACAGACGCTAAAGAAAGAGGGGGTTTTGCCCTGCCGGACTTAAAATTGTACTATGAGGCAGCAGCTTTTTGCTGGCTGAAAGAATGGATGCTCCTCGAGAACACGGACATTTTGGATCTGGAAGGTTTTAACAATGTTTTTGGTTGGCATGCATATCTATGGTATGACAAAATCAAGCTGCATAGTGCCTTTAAAAATCACATTGTTAGAAAAGCATTGTTTAATGTATGGATAAGATATAAAGATCTGTTGGAAAACAAAACCCCTAGATGGGTGTCACCAGTGGAGGCTAAAGCAGTAAAGAAACTCAATATGGAGGTCGGATGGCCGAAGTATTGGGAAATCTTGGAACAGGATGGAGATAAGTGGAAATTACAAAGTTATGAGAAATTGAAACATAAAGTACAAAATTGGCTTCAATATCATCAAATAATGGAGCTTTTCAAACAGGACAGGAAAATTGGCTTTCAGGTGGAAAAATCAAACCTAGAGACTGAACTGTTAGAACCCAATACTAAGAATTTATCAAGAATGTATAACTTGTTGCTGAAATGGAATACACAGGATGAAACGGTGAAATCAGCTATGATTAAATGGGCACAAGATATTGGTCATGACATTATGTTTGCTGACTGGGAACAGTTATGGATCACCGGTGTTAAGTTTACGGCATGTAATGCCTTAAGAGAAAACATAATGAAAATGATTTACAGGTGGTACATGACCCCAGTCAAGCTTGCAAAAATCTACCATTTGCCCGATAACAAATGTTGGAAATGTAAAGAGACTGAAGGTACCTTCTATCACCTTTGGTGGACATGCCCGAAGATTAAGGCTTTCTGGGAAATGATCTATAATGAAATGAAAAAGGTACTTAAAAGTACTTTCCTTAAAAAACCAGAGGCCTTTCTCTTGGGCATTGTCGGCCAATTGGTGCCAAAGAGGGATAGAACTTTTTTTATGTATGCTACAACAGCAGCAAGAATACTTATCGCAAAGTATTGGAAGACACAAGATCTACCCACTCTGGAAGAATGGCAGATGAAAGTGATGGACTATATGACACTGGCCGAGATGACAGGCAGAATCCGAGACCAAGGAAAAGAGACGGTGGAAGAAGAATGGAGAAAATTCAAAAGTTATCTTAAGGACTATTATAAACTTGATGAATGTTAGAGTGTTATGGTTTTCAGAAACAAAGGGATACAGTGATATAAGTTCAGATCATAGAGATAACTAAGTACAGAGGTTGGAAAGTAACATTGGGAGTTGCTATAAAACTATGGACATTGGGATGCAGAAAAGGGGAGGTATGGGGGAGTCTCAGAAAAGAGGTTTATGAAAAACATTATGAAATTATACGTGTTTGTATGTCTTTTTAAGTGTTTGTCTGTTTTTAAAATTTTGTAAAACCAATAAAAATTTAAAAAAAAATAAATAAAGTAAAAGTCAGATCCAGGAGAAATCTGATCAGTGTTGGTGCTGTCATACTATTTAGCTACCATGGACAGAATTTGTGAACATGCCTGATGCTGGTGTTCAGTTTGTTAAAATGTAGTTAAGAGAGATCCAGCTTTGTATCCGCAGTTTCCTCAGATGCTCCATGTTAGGTGACTTCTTGGCCGCAAAAGCAGTGGGCTCACGCAGACTTGAGTTCGCCTAGAAGCATCTGAAGCAGACCGACTGGCATCAGCCAGGAGGAGGCCCTAAGTTCAGGCTAGTAGTTGCGGAAGAGAGACATACCCCTTTTCTTTGACCTCGATCGCCGACACTTTAAAGTGTGCCGACAAAACGATTGACCAATTAACATGGTCTTTAAATTTCCAAAAAAAAATGAACAAGCAACCAAGACTGTCAGCAAAAGCAGCCACCACTAGGCATTTAATTATATATTTTTTCATCTGACGCAAACCTCAGCTCTGGTTTAGTCCCTAGAAATGGGCTTTGCACAAAAGATAAAGCAGCTATGTAGACATTGAGGGCTTATAGATCACTGCAACCAGCAAAAGCTTTGTCTAGGGCCTCCTATGGAATTCCAATTTTAATGTTATTCTCTATGAAAATACAGCCCTAGGCGTCATCCTTTTAGCCAGTGTGTTTAAAGATCTGATTGTGACACATATCTTTTAAAAACCAAGACACAAACTATCTAATGCTGTGTGCTACAAGTGGCACAGCTTGGGCCCATTTGGCTTTGAACAGTATCTTCATGAGTTGCCTTTGATTACTAGGAAAAGTGTGTCACACTGCAACGCACAAGGCTAACCTAATGTGATATTTTGCACTTCTGATTTCAGAGCACTGTGGAAACTATTACCCTTCATTTTCAGAAAGATTCTAGGTTGAAGCAGCAGGTTGTAGAGCAAGGAATCCACCAGAGAGCACCACAATCCCTGTCTTTCAATCCTTCCTTCATTCTGATTTGGTAATGGACAAGTTTGCAAAGTGTTAGCTGGTAAAAACTCAGATGACAAACAGAAACTGAAAGAGTTCCAGTTTAAGCATCACTGGCAATGATGAAAGATTATTTCAACATCCTTTGAAATACAAGAATGAACTACTGCTTTCAAAAATCAGGTCCATCTGAAAACGAATGTTTGATGCAAAAGTTCTCATAGATGCACAAAGAATTGCACAGCTAATGTCTGAATAAGTATGGGAGTCTCTTTTCTCATTATATTCTATTAAGAAATCCTGACCTGGCATGAATACATCTCTCCTTTTCCTGCTGAGACAAAGTAGTGACTGAAAGTCCCCATGTTGTGTTTCCTTGAATGCAGTATTCCCTTAACCAGCTGAAAACTTTCCATGCTTTCCTGGAGAATATTAGGTTGTCAGGAAGATCTTGCATCCAATAATATGGCACATAGTAAAGGTAAAGGGACCCCTGACCATTAGGTCCAGTCGTGACAGACTCTGGGGTTGCAGCACTCATCTCGCTTTCTTGGCCGAGGGAGCCTGCATACAGCTTCCGGGTGATGTGGCCAGCATGACTAAGAGCACGACTAAGAGCGAACCAGAGCAGCGCACGGAAACACCATTTACCTTCCCGCTGGAGCAGTACCTATTTATCTACTTGCACTTTGACGTGCTTTCAAACTGCTAGGTTGGCAGAAGCTGGGACCGAGCAACAGGAGCTCACCCCGTCGCCGGGATTTGAACCGCCGACCTTCTGATTGCCAAGTCCTAGGCTCTGTGGTTTAACCCACAGCGCCACCCGCATCCCAATATGGCACATACCAGTTCCTTTATTACTTTCTTTCAAAGGGAGAGAATGGCGCGAGAGCCCAAGAATCACACTAGGTTAAACTATCTCTCTCGAATGTAACATGCAAACGAGTCCCCTTAGTAGTTCTGGATTTAAAGATGCCCCATGTTGCACTGCGCCTTCAGGTTCAAAGTAGCCTGTAAAGTATATATCACAGGAACGTGGAGAATAATCACCCCCAAAAAAGCTTCCATCATGAATTGAGCCGTGCATCAAAGAAACAAGGATTTAAGTTAAGTTAGTGCTTGCAGACTGGGTCATAGTCACTGTTTCATAACCAGCAATGAACTTTCAGAAGAGGCAGTGTCCAATATGTGGCAACACATGCAGTCAAATTACTTGAATAGTAAACAGATTTTCAGGGACATGAATAAGGAAGGAGGAAATTTTGCAGGTACCGGATCCTAAAAAAGTCAAATAAGAAGTAGGCAGGTCACTTGCAAAAGCAAGATGACGTATTGCAATTACAGGTGTTGGCTGCTCTGTTTAATGCTTCCATGGCAGCAACCCATTAAATATGTTTCCCCAGAGCAATACTAGCCTCCTGTATGGCTACACCCAGTGCAACTCAAAAGTGTTTGTCTTTATCATCAGTTTTTGACAGGAAGTATCTGCTTGGTTATAGCACCACAGCCGGTCTCTGGATCATCTCAGTCAAAACACAAAGATGAGTGGAAGAAAAGTGGACTGTTAAGAGTGATTATGCAGAAGGCAGAAGGATGACTCTTGAGGAGCCTGAACCCATGAAGGCTTGACCACAAACACAAACAAACACACACAGTGCACTCCACTTGAAAATCTTCTGGTCACAGAGTGAGTGCCTTAGGTCTCTTGCAAATTGTTTCCTACACCTCAGCATCTATCTGCGTATTTCCATTCTAAACCAACCAAGAGTAACCTGTCATTCAGAATCTTATTTGCACCGGGAGAGAGACTTCCCTTGACTCAACTCACCAACAGTTAGGCAGATTGAGAGTGATGCTGGCCTGGATGTTTTCTCCAAAGCGCAAATATCCCAGGGTTCCCAGGCTGAGGTAGAGGGTGCTGACAATTGCCATTCCCACATAGAGGATGATGGGGAAATGGTGAGGGGTCTTCATCTTGTTTTCCAGAGGGAGCACCTTGGTGGGGAAAGAGAAAAATCTTTTAAGTCACCTTACTCTTCACTCGAACGACGCTTCAGCCCGTGAATTCTGCCACAGAACCTCAAAAAACATAACACAATGCACCAGGGCAGACCAATTTCATCAATCCAGTCTCCTCAGGATTCAGCCAGATGCCAAAAATGTATTTTCAGTATCAGCCCGCTGTTAATTCCCAGCATCTGGTAACAAAATACACCATCTCTTGAACACTGAAGATGTCTAGATCTTGATAACTTATAGCCACCAATAAATCTACTGAACAGTTAGCTGTCTAATCCAGTCACCAGGGAAAGACCTCTGGAGTACCACTGAGCCCCCAGGCAACCCCCCAATATATAGGTTTTTTTAAAATATAAAGGTTTTTTTGGTGGCATACGAGATGCATCTTATGTTCCACTAATGATTTTGCACCTTATTTTTAACGGGCTTCTATTTGTGGAAGAAAGGATTGCAAAAACCAAAAGTTTTAATTTCTTCTCACTGCTCATTTAAGGAATACGTATTACTGCCATTGTTGTACAGGATGTTCTGTAACAAGAAATCTTAATCGACTTTGGGCTTTGATGTTTACACAGTGACCCAATAACGATAAAGGACATGAAGCACAGTTGCTAAGTAACATTCCATCCAAAGCTTCAGATTCCTCCCCCTTATTCAGTGGCTCATGTTCGGATGTTCTGGGCAGCTAAAGCTACTCTTCCTGGTGTACCAATAATGAAAAGCTCAAAGTCCATTGGGATATTTCAACAGTTTAAGAATACTGAGCCTCAGTCTATCTCTAAAAGCTGTCTGAAAATCATTTTCTGCCATTCTAGCCCTTGCCAAATAAATGTAAGACACTTTTCTTGTGTTACAGGATTCAAAAAGACACACACACAAGAAGCAATCTGCAGGGACTCAAATACAACTGCTGGTTCCAGAGAAAACAAGCGTACATAGGTCAGAGGAAAAAACAACTCTTCAACATTGTGTATACTGTACCGTATACACGATACAGCCCTGACCCTTGCTGAAATCATAGACCAATGAGCCAATCTGCACTTTACAAAGAAAAACAGAAACAAGCAGAGATGTTCTATATAGAAGGGACTTAGAGATTTCAAAACCAAACACAAGTAATCATGGATGAAACCTACAAGTCACAAATTCATAACGTTACATGACTTAAATTGCATTTCTGCCATATATGCATGTATATGTTTTAAATATTGGCAGTGGCAAAGTTTTTATCGGCGGTTGCAAGAACAAATGGGCCCTCTATTCCAAACAAAGTGCTTGATTAACCTGGAGGAAGGCTGTATGAACTCTGTATTGATTTGTAATGTTTTGTTGGTCTCTGGACCGTAATAAAGATTGTTGTTGTTGTTGTTTTAAATATCCTGCTTTCTTTTTTAAAAAAAGAAAGAAATCTGTGGACCAATCAACAAAGATCAAAACAGCAAAGATGCAGGTCAGTTTTCCAACAGAATTTTTAGTTATTGAATTTAGATATTTCACAGTGTGCACACATACCAACCCAAACGTTGCTGTCTTTTTCACTCAAATCTACAAACGTGCAAGTCAACCAGAACAAGAGATTCTATAAATGTGCAAATCAACTAGCTTTTCCAGTTAAGAACATTCCTTGCTGTTCTGATCAGATGTACTCAACATAACCTCTTTGCCTCTCCACCTCCCTACAGCGATCGTACAAACCCATTTCATACCTTCCCTCTCAACTAAACAAATATCTACTTCCTTCAGAGTCTCATAATACACCTTGCACTTTAAGCCTTTTACTACCTTGCCTGCTCTGAACCATGGCCAATTTGTTGACATACTTCTCAACGAGAGAACTGAAAACTGAACTCAGTTGCTCCAGCTGTGACCTAACCAGTGTTGATTAGAAGTGTACTGTTGTGAACGCAATGCTTCTTCAGCTAATGCATCCCAGAATGGCACCAGGAGCTCAGAAACGAGATCGCCACTGAACTAAATTGAAACTAAAACCACTGCTCCATAAAAAGAGACAAATACCTGAGGAATAAAGGGAAGGATGGGAGAGATCAAACATTTCCCATTTTACCCCACTTTCCTCCAGCAAGCCAGCTCTGAAGACCACGAAAATAAAGCTATGCAGGCAAGTCAACTCACATACATCGGTTATGCGTCACAACTGCAAATACAAATTTTAAGCTAGAAAAAAACAACAACCTAAAAGTGTTTGATCCCAGTACCCCAGACCATTTTTCTGCAGGCTTATCAATAGCCTGCAAAGGGAAACATGGACTCTCTCCAAAAACTGAGGCAACAAGAAAATATCTATGACTAGAATGCATAGATTGCCTTCCCATATGTTCAGCAACTGATGCCTAAGTGCTACAGGATTCACAGCACGCCAGGGAGCTGCTGCATCCAAACCCCTAATTAAATGTTTATGCAAAACAAGCCAAGCACACACAAGGGAAAGACTTACCACTCCAATGCCTTCGAAAGCAAAGATGGCTGTGCCAAAAAACAGAGGATAGGTCTTCCACTGGGACACCAGAGGCAGATGGGAAGGATCTGGGATGCCCTGGCAAAGGGCAAGAGAAAAGGTCATTTATATTTGAGAGAAAAGGTCCCAAAGACTTCCTTGGGGGAGTTCCACATAGGAGCTGTTTCATCCCAGCTGAGACCACTGGTCCATCTAGCCCAGTGCCCACAAAGGCTTTCACTGGTGCCCCCAAGCAGTTGCCCCCAGACTCTGAACTTTCATTTTTAAAGAGTGTTGTTGACCCTCCTAGGAAGCTATGGGACAAAATGTGCAGGTACCTTTTAAGCAAATTCTGTGAAAGGACAGCGAGTGTGGTGTGGCCACCTCGTATGTTTCTCCTGGTACTGAGGAATGTTCCCTGTTGTTATTAGACAGCATATCTCTCTCTCTCTCTCTCTCTCTCTCTCTCTGTGTGTGTGTGTGTGTGAGAGAGAGAGTGATCAGAAGTGGAAGAGCTTGACATCAAATTCTACCCTTTGCTTGTAAAGCATCAGCTGTACCACACAGCTACTTTGTTTTTTAGCTCACCTGCTCTGAGAGGAAATGTAGAATATCTAATATTTATCTACCACTCCTACACCCTACTCACAACAGAACTAATGCAAGGAAAAGCCAACTAACATAGAGAACTTGCCCATGTAACACTATGCTTATTCCTAAACTTGCCTAACACATTACCAATATCAGTTCTGCAACACTAGCGGTGGCTAGTCTTTTGGGATGTATTGTAGGCCCGTGTGACAAAGTGTTCTTCTCTCTCTCTCTCTCTCTCTCTCTCTCTCTCTCTCCTTGTGTTCAACCCATAGCAAAAGCATTCTGCTTCTTCCTGTACATCAGGAAAGGTGAGCCTCCAGCCCTCTATATGTTGTTGAACTTAAAAAAAAAAATCTAACTCTTTGCACCTTTTCCTAGGTCAGAATTCTACTCAAAATGCAAAAGGCTTGGTTTTTAACCTCTTAATCTTCACCTTTCAACTGAAGCAAAACACATTTTGCTTGCCATTCTCTCTTGAAATTTAAATCATAAGCTGGTAAAGGCAGAAACCTGTCTTGTTGTTTACTTATTCTATATAGCACCATGTACATTGAGGGTACCATATTAAAATGGAAACACTCCATCCAAGGGACTGTGCTGATCTTGGAGCTGCAGCAACCTCCTACAATTGCAGGAGGCCCTGCAAAATGGCACCACCATTGCTACAGGGAAATTCTGAGAAGATTCCACACTGATCTTTGTACATACCCTCACAATGTACTGGTATATCATTATCAGGCTGCTCAGCATGAGAAGATTGGCCAGCATGGAGAAAATGGAAAGGAACTTGAGATTCTGGATAAAGACGAGCAATATCACAAATGGCAACAAGGACAGGATGTATAACTGGGAGCTCATGGTTGGGAGCCAATAGCGAAGTTTCGTTGGCACTGCAGTCGTTGGTTGTGCCATTGGCCGCAGATATCACCTAAGGATCAAGAGAAGAAGAAGAAGAAGAAGAAGAAGAAGAAGAAGAAGAAGAAGAAGAAGAAGAAGAAGAGAAGAAGAAAGTTGAATGGGTGATTAACAAGCAGGTGGTTTTTGCTTGATTTGTAATACAATGCTGAGTGTGTGATTGTCAGTAAGTTAATATGCGACTATCTAATTCTAACTAGGGGACTATAAGGAGCTAGGAATTAGAGCAGGAGTAGCCAATGAGGTTTTGGTTGGCCATGCTGGCTGGGGCTGATAAGCATTGTAGTTCACAATATCTCAGGACACCACTATTTCTGGATTTTAAAGGTAAAGGTAAAGGGACCCCTGACCATTAGGTCCAGTCGCGGACGACTCTGGGGGTGCAGCGCTCATCTCACTTTATCGGCCGAGGGAGCCGGTGTACAGCATGACTAAGCCACTTCTGGAGAACCAGAGCAGCACACAGAAACGCCGTTTACCTTCCCGCTGGAGCACTACCTATTTATCTACTTGCACTTCGTGCTTTCGAACTGCTAGGTTGGCAGGAGCAGGGACCGAGCAACGGGAGCTCACCCTGTCACGAGGATTCGAACCGCCAACCTTCTGATCGGCAAGCCCTAGGCTCTGTTTAACCCACAGTGCCCATGCATTTTACCAGTATAAAAGGGCTTTTAAGCACCCTGACTTTCTTGGGAGCAAGGACCTCTCCATGTGATGGCTCCAGTTGGTCTCATGAGATCTTGCGGGGTCATCTGAGCTCCCACAAGATCTCATGGGAGCATCCCAGACCCAAGGTGCAGAGAAGGCCCTACTTCCCAAGCAAGGCAGAGAACTTGTGTTTATATAATTTGTATTTGCAGGTACACAGCCACAGGGTGCCTGTTGGGTACATTACCCTATTCCAGGCCAGGGGCAACACATTATCCAACAGGTCTAAGGCAAGACCAAGCCTGATATGTAAGAGGGTCCTGAGTTTTGTATATCATAGCCAAGCCATGCATTTGTCACAAGTTAAAAGGAGAATAAGAAGGGGTGGATTTTTTTACCAGCTAAGACAGCTCTAGTCGTAGAAACAAGTCCCTTCTCTGCCAGTCTTAGCATTTTCTACTAATTACAGCAGTAATGAAGATGCTAAGATCTCTTAAATCCCTGAATTCTCAACTATGCTGCCTGCAGACAAAAGAACCAGTAAATTATCTATAGACTTACCTGTCTCAGATTGTCAGCTAGGAATACAAAATATACGCAGCAAAACCCCAGTTGAGTGATAATCAAGAAAAAACCAATCAGGTACCTGAAAAAAATAATGAATTGTAGCAATTCAGTCTAAATCAGTGGTTCCCAACCTTTTTTGGCCATTCCCCACCTAAGCATCTCTAAAATCCCGAATTCCCCGCCCCGCCCCCCCAGTGACATATAATTCTTATTATTCAAAAAGTGAACTCCTACTCACTTGGAGAAAGCCTAAAAGCCATTAACTGTTAATAACTCCTTGAATTGCTCCTCCTTAAAAATCAAATTGCCCCCTGCTGGGCATGTGCCCCATGTTGGGAATCACAGGTCTAAATAGATAAATTCAGCATTCAGCACTAGTGTCAGAACTGCAACTTCCAGTTTTTAAAAAGCCCTCATGGTTTCAGAAATTTGAAAGCTTATTTGCCAAAAGGGACGTCAATGGCACTAGTAGATTTGTTTTTTTTTATGTTTTCTATTATAATGATTACCAAGTTAATATATAAATGTTTTCTGAAGACCCAGTCAAGTTTTTCATATTTAGAAAGCTGATTTCATAGCAAGAACTTTGCAAAATAAATGCAACATACCTTATCAATCATCTACCATCTGCCAAATATAGGAGATCTATACATTCTGTGCCAAACAGGCTGGTTTTTACTTACAGCTTAATGCAACTAAGTCACATAATGCTTATAATCGTTAAGCCAACAATAAAAACCATGGGGGGGGGGCAGACAACCATGAACTTTTGCAATGAATGAGCACCTCCCCGCTCCATGAAGGAAATATTTTAAAAGCACTGTTAAACAGAACATTTGTCTCTCCCACCACAGTCACTACCCGCCCACACACACTTAAGATGCTAAAGAGATTGAGGGGGGTCAAATCTGTGTCCTTTCAGATGTTGTCAGACTCCAACTCCCATTAGCCGAAGTAGCATAGCCAATGCTCAGGAATGATGAGAGCTGCATCCTTCCAGATGTCGCCTGTAATGCTTCCCTAGCCTCTTCCACATGCACAAGCTGCTTACACCAAGACTCACACCTCCAGCAATGCAACTAAGGTGAGCAAGTACCTTCCCCAGATGGAGTGAGCCCTAAGCCACGCAACGGGGCTGGCTTCCAGTCCATGCATCACAGCATCGCCATAATCCACAAATCGTTTCTGATGCCTATTTGAAAAGAAAGGGGACAAAAGGACACGTGAGCAAGGAGCAAGAAGGGAGAAAACGAAGACAATTTGGAAGCCTCTTAGACTGTTTGCTGCCTGACGCTAGGCCTCAAGTCTTAATAATAAAAGTAATTTATTATTTATACCCCACCCATCTGGCTGAGTTTCCCTAGCTACTCTGGGCGGCTAGCAATCGAGTGTTAAAAACAATACAGAATTAAGTATGAAAAACTTCCCTAAACAGGGCTGCCTTCAGATGTCTTTTAAAGATAGGATAGCTATTTATTTCCTTCACATCTGAAGGGAGGGTGTTCCACAGGGTGGGCGCCACTACCGAGAAGGCCCTCTGTCTAGTTCCCTGTAACCTCACTTCTCGCAATGCGGGAACCGCCAGAAGGCCCTCGGCGCTGAATCTCAGTCTTGGGTGGGCTTCAGTGAGACTCATAGAAAACTTGCCTCTCACACACTTTCATCAACTAGGTTCATGTTGTGTGTGTGTGTGTGTGTGTGTGTGTGTGTGTAAGTGGGCCTTAACAGAGAAAGGCAAGCTACCTTGGGCTCTGGAGAGAGAGAGAGAGAGAGAGAGAGAGAAGCAAAAGCTGGATGCTCTTTTGCTTCCCCTCCTAAGTATTTGTCTTGGACCCCCCTGAAAGCACTGTCCCATCCAGGGATAGAAGGATCCTAAGAAGAGTTTGGTGGCAGCCTACCTGAAAGCCTCTGGTACAACTAGTCTACCCAGACTGGCAGTCATGGAAGGAAGGGAATGGAAGCCAGCGTCCCTGTCCCCCCCAAGTTCCATTATGTTCAAAGAATGGGAAAGGAATATAGAGAGGGATGTCCCTGACAGGCAAGGCAAATTCATGTTCTTTGAGGAATAACAGTAGTCAGAGTTTCTTCTTACTTGTTGCAGAAGTGGTGAGCACACTTAACCAGCATCTGCATGCAGTGCACCGCAATTATTCCAATCCCAAGCAAGCTGAGAGGACCCATCTAAACAGCGCAAGAAAGAGAAAAGCATTAGGAGTACACTCTTGTGGCTGAAGAGAGAAATGCAAGTTCTCATTTCAGTAAACCCAACCGTAGCCACTCGTCAGAAAGAGAAGCTCACGCTCTCCAAGAGGTTTGTTTCCGTGGGACTTACCATCATTAGGTTAACAATGATAGAATATAGCATGTGTGTGTGTTCTTGTATCTTTTAATTCTTACAACAGGAACGGCAAAGGCATGGCCCAGGAGATGTTGCTATGACTACCATCAGCCTCAGCCACAACGGCCAATGGCCAGGGATGATGGCGTTGTAGTCCAAGGCCATATGGAGGGCCTTTGGTTTCCCATTCCTGGCTTACACACCACCTTGTGTGGCAACTTAACATTGCAGGTGGGAGGCTACCAGATCTGGCTTGCCTGGATGGCTATGTTATGCCTCCACCATCGGAGACAGTCTGCCTCTGAAGAGCACAAATGGGGAGAGTGTTTTTGTTCACTAGTCCTACTTATGGGCTTCCCACAGACAGCTGGTTGGCCAATGTGGGAAGAGGAGGCTGGATTAGTCTGATCTGGCAAAGGCTCTTCTTCTTCAATACTAGTTGATGACCTAAGTCACATTTGAACTGGGACTTCCTGATCGACAACTTAGTCACTCAGCCACTATGTTGCACCAACTCTAATGGAGCATAGAGATCTGTGTAACTGAGAGGAGCTCTGAAGATGGGCATCAAGTGGTCCAGTTACCACAGTAATCAAGAAAGGCTCGGAAAGGGCCTGGTGTCTTGGCAAAGGCCATTTCTCCTCATTATGGCACTGCTAGGTTTCACCTTTTGGGAAGACACACAGCTCAGCCTTCCACTCGCAGGAGGAAAGTCCATTTTCTGCCAGCAGTGCTGAAGAAGGACAACCACCTCCTGCTCACTGCTGGCTAGGAAGGACCCTTTGTTAGAGGCTCTTCCTACACTTCACGGACAAACCAAGAGCAGCAGAACATCAGCAGCTCAGAAGGAGAAGGAGACTGCTTGATAGATCAAGGGTTAAGGAGGAGGACTAGAACAAGGATAAGGAAGGGGGAAACGGAATCTCTTCTTAATGCGCAGGCTCTTTGCCTCACATGGTTGGGGTGGAAGGCGCATGCACCAAACGCAATCACAGAGGTGCTGGTGCTTCGAAATGCAGGCGTCTGAGGTTCCACTGTTAAGTAGAGGGGGCACTAGTTGTTTGTGCATGCCTGTTGCTTTATTTAAACACAACTATATCCTGAAGAAACTCTTTTCAGTCCTATTTCACTTTTTTCACCTGAAAAAGTTCAGTTTCTTCTATTACTTCTTTGTTGGCTCCTTTTGGTTCTTGTTTTCTGCTCTGACCATTCCTCCTTGGAAACATGGCGTATGCAAAAGGCGGCTCACGATCCAGCCACGCTTAAGTGCCACTCTCAGCCAATTTCACTGGGAGAGTTATGTATCTGCCCCGGTCCTTTCCACTCCCTTTTCCAAATTGCCTTGTTTGCTGGTAAGCCCATGGGTAGAGTTTGTTCTTTTAAACTCAAGTTATTTACGGTATCAAGCACTTAGGATTTAAAAACAATAAATATTACAGATTAACTTGTTTGTGGCTAAAATATTGCTAATAGCTTGTGTGTAGCTAACATAAATTCTTTTGTATACAGTATCTCGTAATATGAAATTAGAACTATTTTGATGCAACATAGCTTAATTGCAGTTTTCATCATCTTGATTATGTGTCCCTGAAGAACCTTGTTGTGTTGGAAGAATCACAGAACTGCAGAGTTGGAAGGGACCCCGAGGGTCATCTAGTCCAACCCCCTGCAATGCAGGAATCTCAGCTAAAGCATCCATGACAGATGGACATCCAACCTCTGCTGAAGTAACCTTCCAGGAACCCTTCATGGGATTCTGTTCTACTGTCTAACAGTTCTGACTGCCAGATAGTTTCTCCTGATGTTTCGTCAAAATCTAACGTTTAGCTGGAATGCTTATGCCCACATTGCATATCCTAGCTAGGGAGCATAATTTCCACACACTTGAGGAAATTTTTTTTAGGTTATGGCCTACATCTAATACCTAAGCAATGTTACAAAACAGAGAGTAGATCTGTTGCTCAGGCTGGGCTGGGCTGGGCTGCTGTTGCATAATGCACAAACAGGCACTTCCCTGCTGCTGTGGGGACTTACTAGTAGAACAGGAAGGAGAGAACCCCGATAATGTTTTTGGCTTAGATGTTTTGGATGGCTCCTTTGAAATTGCTAGAAATCAGCTCTGTGGCTGAAAGCTTCCATTTATTTAAAAGGGCGGGTAGTCTTAGTACATGCTTTCTCTGTTCTGCTTGCAGCCTGAAGTAGGATGCTGGAGCTTGCTAAAAGCAGTCAAGGACTACTTCCCATGCTACAACTCTAATTAATGAAGAAATTGCTCCCTTGGTTTCTTCCATTCTTTCCTTTGATTCTCCCTCCCACAGCAAGTGAATCGGTAACCAGACGCAGGTACACAGAAAATGGATCAGCATCTCAATATACATGGTCTGATATAGAAGAAAGGGAGAAAAGAAAAAAAGGAATGGGGAGAAGTCACCCACAGATTTCATTTCACCTTTGCTCTCTTGGTGGTTCTTCCCATGCCCACCAGAAAATGAACATGCAGCTTACCAACTGCTAGGGATTAGATTATTTTGTGACTGCGGTAGCCCAACTAAGATTAGAACCGAGAGTTCAGATCTTAGGGATGGTGGGAGTTGTAGTCCAAAAATATATGGAACCCCACAGGCTCCCTCTTCTGTCCTAAGCCATCAGAACAAACGTCATTTGTCAAACAATGAAACCTGCAAGCTCATCTTGCCTTGTACAAAAGCTGGCTGAGAGTTAACCACAGAATCTGAGCCACTGGAACAAACGCAAAAGTCTTACCACAATGCCAGCATTTTTGATGGCCAATGGGAGCCCCAGCAGGCCGGTACCAATGTTGCCTTTCAAAAGGTGTATTAAGGTTTGAAACCATCTGAGGAGAAAACAAATGGAGAGAAGGCCATCAATAACATTCAAGGGAGCATTCCTATTTCTCCCCAGTGGAGACAGTGAATTGTACACAATCTGAGAAACTAATTTCAATTGTGGTTTAAACTCCATGCAAAATTTAAGATACAATTAAGGATTAGGATGCACTAACGGACAAGCTGAAAAACTGATTCTGTTATTAACTTATATTTGAACTAATTTTGTTTATTTCCACTCAGAAGATGCTCTAGGTGGTTAATAAAAATAAAAGGCCAACTAACATCTTTTTTATTTTTTTACTTTTACTAACATATTTTATAACCTTCATAGTAACAAAACAAAACTTCAAGCACCATTATAATTAAGATAATGTGGACAAAATAAAAAAGGTAAAGAAGTAGGAAAGATGGAGGTGGATTCAGTTCATTTGAAAGAAGGCAAAACAGATGAATCTTCACTAGACACTTACAAGGTTTTGATGCATTAGACAAGCCTCTCTAGAGAGGCAGCTGCATAAACCACCAAGAGAACTGAATTTTGGGGCATACAATCTTATTTCAGGTCTTACATTTAGAGCCGAATAATTCCCATTAGTCTTCTCTCACAAGGTAGAACAGAATATATGGGAGAAGACACTCTTTAAGGGTAACCCAGGCCCAAGCTTTAAGCATTCAAACACATTTAGTGTAATCTGGAAACAAATCAGTAGGATGTAGCCAATGAGCAACTGCTCTCACATGCTTCTGGCAGCTGGCAGCATTCTAGACCAGCTGAGATTTCTAGAGCAGTGTTTCCCAACCTTGGGCCTCCAGCTGTTTTTGGACTACAACTCCCATCATCCCTAGCTAGCAAGACCAGTGGTCAGGGATGATGGGAATTGTAGTTCAAAAACAGCTGGAGGCCCAAGGTTGGGAAACACTATTCTAGAGTACAGAGAGCATGCTATCATGACATATCACAGCCTTCAGAACAACGGTCAGATCTTTCGTCTACAGCAGGGATAGTCAGCATGGTGCCTTCCAGATGCTGTTGGACTACAACTTCTATCAGTGCCAGTCGGCATGGACAGTGTACACAGATTATAGATGCTGTAGTCCAACATCACTTGCAGGCCATCATGTTGTCTATCTCTAGTCTGCAGGAAAGGTGAATCAATTGAAGCTGTAAAAACAAACTCCAGGCTGCAGGTAGGACCCAGCTCTGAAGCTTGCTCTAAGTTCTTCAACGGATTAACCAGCTGCACCTGAAACTCCTTTTGTATGGGAAAAGGGTGATAAGAACAATAGCCAGGGCAAAGAGCAAAATAACATACGATATAAGTTAGAGATGTTTCAGTCATTTGAACGAAGAACTATGAAATCAAATACTTTTTGAGGCTGGGAAGCATTGCATTTTCTCCTGGAAACTAACACAAATTTATTGCATTTCTCTACAGCAAAGTCTTGGTTTGCTCCTGCACATAACTGTTACTGATTAGGGACACCAAGCCTGGGACTTCAAGGAACCCAATACATAAACAGAGAGCAAAGCAAAGTAGGGCTCATTATTTTAATTGGTTTCAGTACACAGAACGTGGGCAGAGGGCAGGTTTTCCAAGTTCAGAGTAGCCCAGAGGAAGTAATGTAGATGTGCAATGCCTCTTGGAAAAAAGGTGTGCTTGCAAATCATGGAGTCCTGCGGAAATAAAGGGGCCAGAAAATTTATAGAGCCCTGGTCTTAAATAATCTGAAACTTCACAATAACCTTGGTGGACTGAATTCATGCACCCAAGGGTCTAAGAAGTGCCCCAACAAGTGACATACCTGCTAGATGAAAGAAGAATTTGGGTCAAGTCTGAATGCTTACTCCCAACAAACTTAGTGAACTTAGCCATGCATAAGTGGTGCATATGATTACTCTCTGAGGGTTTGTTTTTTTGTATTTACATCCTGGATAAAGCCTTAAATGATGCAATGTCCACTAATTTTATCTCTCTCTCGCCTCACTGAAAGCAATTTGTCCGTGCAACAGCAAGCAAACAGATTCCGATGAATCACTTACGTTGTCCCGTTTGCTTCTCCAAACCGCTGATAGGACGAGGGGCTGGAAAAGTTGCTCAAGCCCTCGGGAGGGCTACCATCTGGAGACGCTTCTGTGGAGCTGTAGTCATTGTAGTCTTCACTGCGCAACCGCCTGGTGGACATTGTGGCTGCGGGAGAAGAAGCATTAGAAACCACAGCCCCTGCCAGCTCAATGCTTCCTCCCGGGGCTGCATCCATCGCATGAGGTTTCTCTGGATGGGACATTGCTGCAGCACCGGTGCCCTGCTCTGATCCCGTGGAGCAGGAGCTGCCAGGGAGAGTTATTATATAGTGGCACACCTCCTGACCCACGCAGGAGGAGTTGCAACAGGAGCAACCTCAGAGGAGAACTCCAGATCAGAGGAGTGCTTTAGCACCAGCACTTAGCTATAATTATCACTGGAGTCAAAGAGTAACCCTGTCAAAGTCCGGGACACCCACACTTTCCCCCTGAAGGCAAAACCAAGAGAGCCACTCTTGATTTCTTCGGCCATCGCCGCTACCTTGAACGTTATCAGTATAGGTATCCAAATTTAGCTGCTGAATTTGTGTCGGTTGCCTGTCCCCCATAATCAGAATAAGAGGCACGTTAGAAGTCAGCACCTATTTCCTGAATCCTGCAATTTGCCCCTGAGTGATACTGATGAAAAACTAAAAAAGGGGGCAGGGGCTTTTTCTATCACCCAGGTTAAAGAGGTGGGCTTAGATTTCAGGAAAAAGAAAGTGTTCATGCAAAGAACTGAAAGTTTTGCTTCCTCTTCCATGCACACTGATCAACTTGGGTACAAAAGAGTTTACCCATACCTTTTTAAAACATTGCAGTGATTAACATCAGATACGGCTCCCACATGTTTCTAGGTTAAGCAGGTAAATCCTACAGTACTTTCACCTACAAAGACTGTGATCTATCTCAACCTCTGCCAAGGTGATGTCCTTCAGTTGTTTCAGACTACAACTCCCATCAGCCTCAGCCAGCAAGGCCAATGGGAGCTGTTGTCCCTAAACAGAGGGGCTGATGGGAGCTGTAGTATGAAACACCTGGAAGGCACCAGATTGGCAAAGGTCAATTCAGCTACAGTGGTGCCCCGCAAGATGAATGCCTCGCAAGATGGAAAACCCGCTAGACGAAAGGGTTTTCCGTTTCGGAGGCGCTTCGCAAGACAAATTTCCCTATGGGCTTCCTTCGCAAGACGAAAATGTCTTGCGAGTCTTGCCATTTCCCCCCCCCCGCTACCCCCCTTTTTCAAAGCCGCTAAGCCGTTAATAGCCTTTTAGCAGCTTAGCTGCTAATCCTTTAATAGCCGCTAAGCCGCTAATAGCGCTAATCCGCTTAGCCGCTAATGGGGTTGCTTCGCAAGACGAAAAAACCGCTAGACGAAGAGAATCGCGGAACGGATTCTTTTCGTCTTGCGAGGCACCACTCTATTCCTGTTCTTCCTAGACACCTCCTGTTGCTAAAATATACCTTTCCATTGGGAAATAAAATGCAAGAAAACATAAACAGATGCTACTCAACACCTTTCTTTTTCTCTTTTGGAAATGATAACCATAGCTGTCAACTTTTCCCTTTTCTTGTGAGGAATCCTATTCAGAATAAGGGAATTTCCCTTTTAAAAAGGGAAATGTTGACAGCTATGATGATAACTGATACTCAGTCTGCAGAAGACTGGATGAAATGAAGTTCACTGTGGAGATTGAGAACTTCTTTCTTGGCTCCCCCCCCCGCCAAGCTTTTATGGCTTTTGATTTCCAAGAAAACAGTTTTAGCAAGTCTGATGGTTCCTTGTGATTTTAGGAGCAACAAACTAGAAATATGTCAGTAGGCTTGATGCATATAAGTGGCATGACTAATAAGGACTAACTAAGAGGGAGGCACACCCATTGAACCTGTGGGCCGTGCACTGCCTTGCCGCACAGGGTGGGGGAGCGAGACCAAAATTTGACACACACATGCCCTCATGCTGCTAAGCAAGGTGCAGGGATTTGGGAAGGAGGTGCAAGGCTCTGGCAGGGTCCTAGACCCCTCCCACCTTCTTCCCAAAAAGAAAAGCACTTACCAGGCTTCCAGAAGGAAGTGGAAGGACTCTAGGACCTTGGCAGAGCTTTCATGCCTCCTTCCCAAAGCCCAGCACCTCCTTACCTGACTTTGGGAGGGGAGCATGAGGGCTGCCAGGGGCGTCAAATGTTGCCAAGGGCTGCCAAAAAAAGCCTAGAGAGCCACATGTTGGACTGCCTTGCTTCAGACCTACTATTCCCAGTGCTTCAAACCACAGTTTAGAGGATCAAAAACCTATTTTGTGATTCTCTGTTCTCTCCTTCCAAAGAAATAAACTCTCTCCTGTTATTCAGAGTTAGTGATAAACTACAGTTTGCCATTACAGCCAAACGATAATTTGTACAACTAGACAGAGGAAAGAATGAGAAAGTGGAATACTCATTCATGTACCACCAAATCATGGTTTTGTGTTACATCTATCTGAGCCATTGTTTAAGAAGAATTTAAAATATTTTTTTCTATTTTATGTCCATGCAGCCCATACCGTTCCATATACACACAATGTGTGAACCAAATTATTCATATATTTATTTAATTAACAACAGTTTCTGTAGGTTCACTTCCCTTAGGTATTATAAGTTCTAATGTGACTTAAAATCTGCCAAGATTTTGGACTGCCAGGTGCAAGTTTTTTGATATTTTTTGCTGCTCTTCTGCTGGCAACTGCTTTTCTGCTGGAATTTGTCTGGCACCTATTCTGCTTTATATTAATATGTTTGTTTCACTCTTCAGCATAGGGCTATCTTGCTGTAATGCAAATTCAGTGCCAGTAGTAATTGTCTAATTTATTTATCTGGATTTCTATTCCAACAGCTCATATCTTGAACCTGCAATAGAAACGTACTACAAAACACACCTCAGAAATATGCAAGCTATGCAAATGCATAGTATAGAGATAAGTTTTCACTGTACACAGAATGGAATGGAAGTTTCAGTTTCATCATTAAATTATCACAAAAACAATTGCTGCACCATCTTAGCTGAATTTAACATACATCCAGAATATTCCAATAACCTGCCACTGCCAAAACATATTAAACATGGAGCAATCTCAGCCTTTTCACCAAAAATGGACCCTAAACTCTATCCTTTTTTGCAATTGTAAAAGGCTACAATTTCCAACCTTTATATAACAAAGCAAACCCTAGTTACACAGAGCCTAACGACTTAAACTGCAAGCTGTTGTGCACAAAGAAAACTCTTGCACAAAGTAGTCCAAGTACAGATAATTACACAGCAATAGCTGTGTACTCCCTCCTATCCCACTAGATATATCATAGCTGAAGCGGAACACTCAGCAACTAGGAATTAGAGTCTGAGTACTGCAAGGCACAGATAATCACTCTCTTATTCTCCTATCCACCCCTGGCATAATGCCATCCTATAATTACCCCATCAATAGGTAGTGGGGTTCTTCTCTTTTGAAAACTAGCCAGGGAAACTAGCCAGGAAAAAGTCTCCTCCCCACTGATGGCATGGATTAGATTAGAGACTATGAAGTAGCAGGAAGCACAAGAGGCCAATTCCACTACAATCAGCAAGAACAGCTAGAGGAGGTGAGACCTGGAAAAGTACTGGATGAAGGGTTACAACCTCAGATACAAGAAGAAAAAATCACAGAACAGAGAGATCCTGAGAAGATATTGACATCATAACTGGTCATATACCTTAGTGAAAAATCAATCGTGGCAACAGTACTGTAAAAAGAAAAAAGTTTACATAGCTTTGTTGTCTCCTAGGTGACTGCCTCCTCAGTACTGCAAAACTGCTGCATTATTGGTCCCAGTGCTTTTTATCTAAAAAAAATGTTTAATGGTACTCTCATTTTCCCACTCATATTGAAATACTGCCCCACAATGAGGCCAAACTTAGATTCACAAAATGTTTAGGGGTATGTGTCCCCCCAGAAAATGAAATGAAAGCAGTTCTCCAAGGTTTGGGACATTTATTTTTCCCAGTCCTACCTGGATACCATCTGAAGCTGAGATCTTCCACATACAAATGTTGGATTTGCCAGTGAGTTACGACCTCTCGCCAATTCTTTGATAATGCTGTCACTCACAGGGGCCTTCACTGAAGTGAATGCAAATATCTACTTGCCACGGAAAATCACAAGCTTGTGAATTGCTCCAGATTCTGCACTGCTTTTAATCACGACTTGGACTCTCCCTCCCCCCCCCAACCCCTGTCCTTCCTTTAGTTTTTCCCCAATTGTGTTTACTTTGATATCGCACTACAAATTGCTATGATCCATTGCAGAGATTTCTTTTTCCTTTTCTTGTTTTTCTTCATTGGCTGTATTTGTTAAGGAAAAACCAAAACCAGCAACAGTAATAATGCTTTGTAAGGAGTAAAGTAAAGAAAAAGAAAAAGAAAGTCTTGGAGGAGAAATGCTCATAACATACTTACATGACCACCCTTGTGTACACACAGTGCTCAGGTAGCTCCTAGAAGACAGCAGTTCAATGACAGCCCCAGTCCCTGAGGCATGCTTACTTCCTCGCATCCTCACCTAAATTTAATTAACCTAGCAGTGTCTTCCTACTGAGCGCTGTATCCCAAGCACTTACTGCTGAGAGATATTGTCTATGAGATTCAGTTGGCACTTCAAATCCACCATATATTTTCCGCCCGCTCCAACCTCTCTGCTGGACTACATTTCTTCACGGCTTTCCCAATCTACACTGGTTCCTCAGCAAGAAAACCTTCTTTTAGCAGCTACTTCCACCTAACTTGCGTAACTACTGCAAAGTACCGGTAACTGGATTCCAGTTCTGCTATGCAACTTCCTCCACTTGGGCCCTCGCTTTCCCAAACAGAAATAACTTCTGATTAGAACATGAAAAGGACATCTCCGTGTGCAGTCATTTGCTGCGGCTACTAATTTGGACGTTGCCGCGTACAGCAGCGTCCAAGCGCATTAAACAAAGAATAATAAAATGACACCTACCCGATTCGCAAGTGCAGCCTTCTCTCCTCTGTTAAGCAGCTCTTGTTTCCCTCCTTCATGGTTCCTGAACTGACACTCCAATGACTGCTACCCACCCACCCCAGCCCTGCAGGGCAAGCCAAACGTTATCCTTGGCAAAGAACAAAGTCACCCATGACATCTGCATGCTTAACGTTAAAAACAACAACATAATTCGTCCTCACCAAGCATGCATCTCATGATCTAGCCTCTGACATGCCCTTTTCTGGGGTACGTTGTCTCGTGACCCATTCCAGATCTGTACGTTATTCAAGATCATAACAATAACAAAACAAAAACACGGCCAATCAATCCCTCCCACACTGATGCGCAAGCACATATGCAGCTGCACCTGAGAGGCTCCTGAGCCCACACCTCTGTGCGCACCCCTTGGGCTGCGCACCTATCCTTGGAGCCGAGTCACTACACCACTTAACTTTGCTGCCTGGAGACATCTACCGACTTAGCATCTCCCCGTCGTGCAGCAGGGAACGCGCGTGGCCCCCTTTGCCAGGCTAAGTCCGCGCCCACTTAGGCTGGCACCAGCCCCAGCAACCCCCAGCGCCCGTCCCCCCCGTGCCAGCTTCCCCGCAAACCTTGCAAACATCCCCGCTCTGACCCCCGCTCCATCACTCACCAGTCCCACCCCGGCAGGCAGTATCCTTGTTCCGCCTTTCCCCTTTCACCGCCTTTCCATCTTGGCCTCTTCCTGCGGCAGGTCATCTGATCGAACCGGCTTTGTATGCTCACGTGGCTCAGCCGGAGGCGCAGACGTCACACCGAACTCTTCCAGTCCAGGGTGGAGATTTCTCCGACGCTGCCGGTTTCCACTTCCGCCCGGACAAGGAGCGCTGCTGGGGATAACGCGCGTGCGCAGCGGCGAAGCCGGCTCATCGCCTGGGTTGGACGGCGAGGCTACTGCCTGTCAGGCGCGCCTCCTAGAGGGCAGCGCCAGAAAGGAACTCTTCCAGGGTTGTTCAAACTTGGATTCCCCCCTCCCCAGCCGTTGTTGGACTACCACTCCCATCACCCCTGACCACTGGGGCCTGCTAGCTAGGGCTGATGGGAGTTGTAGTCCCAGAACAGCTGGGGGCCCCAAGCTGGCTAGCCAGCCCCAGAGTGGGAAGGAGCGCCTCTCGAGAGCAGGGACGTTTGAGGTGACCTGCAATTGCAGGAGCCCCACCTGGTCGTCGCCTTCGCCTTCTTTGCATCTGGTCCTGGAGTTGGGACCACGAGGGTCATCTAGCCCAACCCTCACAAAGTTCATCTTTTGCCCAACGTGGGGCTCAAACCTACAGCCCTGAGATTAAGAGTCTAATGTTCTACCAACAGAGCTATGTTTCAAAGAGTTTTTCAACAAATGCTGCAGGCCTTTTAAAAGCACACTCTTTCCTTCAGAGATTTCTGGGTACTTATCGATTACCCCTTACAGAGTGACTTCTTGTTGTTATATATTTATTTACACCCTGCTTTCCCCCCTGATGGAACTCAAGGTGGCTTGCAGATAAAAAGAAGAACCGCCAAAGACGATCATTAAAAACAATTGAACATGGCTAAAAATTAAAACATATTAAATTAAATTAAAAAGAATATATATATTCTACCAAAATTATATGTGCTTAAAAGGTGTGGTGTGTGTAAACAGCAATTTTGACTCTCTCTCACAACTGCTAAATGGCTTCCACGACAATTTTCAGCAAGAAGCTGAAAATTGCAACTTGCTTTAATGACAAGAACAGAACCACACCCAAAGAAAGAAAGCCAAAGCTTAGGCTGGGTGGAGCGCCGGGCTCTGGCCGTTTCCACGCAGTGCTCTCTTCTTACCTTATCTACAAAAACTGGGAGCAGTTCGCCTCAGGCCAGGCTTGCGCTAGGCTCTGCCTCATTCTATAGCTGACCACCACAACAAATTGCACAATGCACATTGCTCCCATTCTACAGTGAGAGAGGGTGATGGGGTGTGGGAGCTTACCTGCGTTTTCTCCAGGACATTTCCTGAGCTTCCAGGTTGGGGCTACAGCACCAAACCAGACTGGTGAAGGGGTGCAGCTCAGTGGTAGAGGACTTGCTTTGCATTCAGAAGGTGCTAGGTGCAAGCTCCAGCTATTGGGGGAAAGGGGCTTCTGTCGGACACCCTGGAAAACCAGCTAGTGTTGGGTGAGATGGGTGGGTGTTTGGCTCTCCAGATCAACTCTCATAATTCCTGATCATTGGCTATGCAGGTTGGGATGGATGGAAGTTGGGAGTCATACATATCTTGAGGGCTACAAGCTTCCCATCCCAGGTATAGACCAAGGGTCTAACTTGGCAGAAGGCAGCTTCCTGCATTCCACGGTCACAAAAAAGCTGATTTCCAGATTCAGAATGGATGATTCCTCAGATGCCACCACCAATCAGCATTCATCTCAAGGTCTGAGACTCAACTGAGCTTGTGTACGCATTGCATATTCACTTATTCACTTATAATGGGATTTCCATAGCGTTGTATTCACTGCTACATCTAAACAAGAATACAGTGGTACCTCAGGTTAAGTACTTAATTCGTTCCGGAGGTCCGTTCTTAACCTGAAACTGTTCTTAACCTGAAGCACCACTTTAGCTAATGGGGCCTCCTGCTGCTGCCTTCTGTTCTCATCCTGAAGCAAAGTTCTTAACCCGAGATATTTCTGGGTTAGCGGAGTCTGTAACCTGAAGCGTATGTAACCTGAAGCGTATGTAACCTGAAGCGTATGTAACCCAAGGTACCACTGGATTCTGTTTGAGGCTAAATGGACTACATAATCTCTGTAACTATCAGCCACTCTATCCAGATGTAGTTATGTAGAGTAATGGTAAAAATCCAGCGCAAGGCTCAGTAATACTCCAATCCTCAACCTTCAGCATATCTCTCCTATCTACTTTGGCATAATAATAAGAGGAAATAGTGGAAAAAAGATGCAGCATCATTGCAGCGTGGGTGCATTTTGTATTATGCCTAGGCAACCCCAGTTTAGGCCAGTCTTAAAATAAGCCTTGCATTTGAAGACTTGAAGATAAATGCAAAACTTACATAAAACGGAGGTGTACGCAACTGCCGAAAAGTGTAAGTTAGAAAGGATCCTATAGGGACGATTGATAAATTTTTGGCTCCGTGTTGATAGTGTTTGTTCTATTCTTGCATTTTTACCGTTAGGTGGATTCACATGTTGAAAAGATGTGGCAGCAGCTTGTGGTAAGAAACTATAAATACAACTGCCTGCACAACAAATTGCCAGTTCGACAAGCTCCAAGAACCCAGGACCAGACAACAATGTCTTCTGAATTTGCAGTGGGCTGCTTCTGTATGTGATCATTGTAACCTTTGTTCTTTGTCAACGAAATCCAGTGTTGCAGCATGTGTCACTGTGACCCTCCCAAAGATTTGCATGGCCGCACTTCCACATAAGTACACAATCGTAGACCAATCAGACACTAACACAGCAGCTATGGAATAAAAAGATTTTATTCAATACTCTCTTATGGCACCAACACTAAAGGCCACTTGATTTTTTTTTCCATCATAAAGATGGATACCACAAAATAAATCAGCTAGCCGCTGCTAAGCATTCAGGGTACAGATAATTTAAGAGATGATTAGAATGCAGATGAAATCAGTAGGAAATTGTGATTATTTGTGAAATGTAGCAAGCTCAAAAAGGTTTTTTTGAAGAATGAAAGGTGTTTTCCTAAGTAATATATTCCACAGGTACATATGCTACATCCGTCATTTTCTATACATCTATCCATGTGATTATATCCAGCATCTGGACACACCACGGCCATTATTATTTAAGGCTTACAAGGCACTTTAGCAACATGGTCATATAAAAATATGGAGTAATACTAGCAGGCTGCCATATACCCAGGGCACAGGTCTGACAGTTTAACATGGGGAGCAGAATAACAACTGCATGCTTACATTGCAAGACAGCACAGCAGTGGTTTTGTGTGCAAACCTCTTAGGCAGTGCTGTGGGGAAACACTTTTTTATTGATGCATTTGGGTGCAATTATTTGGAAGAGGCTGTGGGGTTATTGTATGATGCAAGAGGAAACGAAAGAGTTGTTTCTAAGCTAGAGGGCAATATATTTTCTTGTGCCACTCCCCATAACTCTGGACGTGTGCACATTAAATATATTAAATATATCTGAAAACCTACGCAGATAAAGCAATGCTGCCTTGCCAAGTCTAGCGCTGACAAAGGGATTTGTCACTAGGACTTAGGCCCTCCAGGCTGATATTTTAAGTGGACTGGAATAATGATTTGTTAGGACTAGAGACAGAAGTGGGCTGGAAGGACTATGATGGTACGGTAGTTTTTCCTTTAGACTCTTGCTCCTCTATAAGTTGCAATGCATTTTCCCCAGTCTCAATATTTGTTTGCATAGGAGGGGAACAAGAAGCACATGGTGCATGGTAGAGATGGGTTAGACACAAAAGTATGTTTGGAACATGGAAGGACCAGCTTTTGGGGAGTTCAGATATTCAAGATGGCACTGTGAAATAAAGTGCACAGTCATCATGGCCTATCCAGTAGGGCACAAGGTAAGGAGGGTTACTACAATTAACACCCCCACTGAATACATCAGGCAGAGTTCTATTAATGTCAGTACCAACAAGGGTAATAAAACAGGGCAAAGTATGTTGTATACCTGGAGTACAGGTACAAATCCTTAAAAACGTGTGAGGCTTAAAACAATCACCCTACAAGCTTAAGGTCTCATTGGGAGGAAAGCAAGGTGGAGGGAAAGAAAAGGAGGAAACACACCCAAGGGCTCCATCACACATTATGGAGGTTGAGGGAAGAGTTTCCATGAGCACCAACCAAGCAGGCGACTAATTCTTAGTCCAGATGTCCAGGCTCATTGTAACAGTCTCTTACCAGTTCCGCACATGCAATATGTATTCGGCAAATCTGTTCATCACCTCAAAGAACACAGAAATTATACACAGTACTCAAACTGTCACCATATGGCACAACAACTATACATCATATATTCATGTAATCAGATTACTTGGCTGATTCATGCAATTAGATTACTTGGTTCATAATGGTACCATTTAGAATGTTAGAATTTTTGTTCTCCTTCAATCCAGAGCACATCTCCTTGAGAATAATAGAGATCTGTGATTCCCCCGCCGCCAACCCCGACTCCCATCAGTGTGGGATTAATTGGTTCCTTGGGAAATAGAAGTTAAGTAAGCATCTTTCATTTTCTAGTTGAACAAGAAGAGAAAATTCCCACAGAATTGGAGTTGTGTCACTTTGCCCAACAGTCCCCAAACTGTCCACAGATACCTTGGGAGAGCACTGCAAGCATTTGGTCCTTTTCCAGAAATGTTGGCAAGAGTCTTACATGAAATACCATACAGATCTTTTATGTTGAGCGTTTTCCTTCTGCTTTTATCAGAAGCTAACTTGAACAGATACCAGTAAATCCCACCAAAAACCCCTCTCTCTAACCAAGCACCAAACTTCTGTTCAGAAGATAAACAGGAGCATGAAACAGCATATACGGTTTGTAATCAGGAGGTGTAAAGTGTGTGTGTGTGTGTGTGTGTGTGTGTGTGTGTGTGTTATAGAAGGGTTAGTTCCCTTCATTGTCCCACTCTCTTGGTTGGATCTAGTCCTCATGCACAACTTAGGCAGCACAAGACTAACAGATATGGGCCTTTTGAGGGATTGGAACTGCTTGATCATATAGCGTGCTTGGTGTATGGCAGAGTGAAGGAGCCACCTTGACCAAGCAGGGGTTGCAGAAGTAAATACAGAGGAGATGGTGGAGCCTGCCTGGCTATTTTGATCTGTGATGCAGAAAGCAGGAAGTGTGGTTTCTTCCTTTGGTTACTGCTTCATGAGTCTGCTCAAGCTATCCTGTCAGAATACCCCAACAACCTTTCAGTATTCTCACAACCCCATAGTCTGAGACCCTGGGGGTGTAGAGGAATCTTATGGACAGTGATGCATAAAGATTATGCATGGGCCACTTTACCAAGCTGAGAAGCTGCACTTACATCTATTCACATAGCCATTATGCACTCCGTACCCCTGTGTAGCATATATATCCAGGGTGATGTGGTCCTGATCCAGCCTTCCCCAACTGGCTCCCCTGGGAATTATTGGACCACACCTTCCACTATCCCCGGCTGGCCTAGCCAATGTTTAGAGATGATGAGAGCTCTGGTCCAACAATGCCTTGGGGGAGAAGGGACCAAAGTTAGGGAAAGCTGCCCTCATTATAACCAATGCATAAAGACTAGTTAGGCACAGTCATCTCAATTTCTGATTTAAAAAAAAATATTTCTGAACATTTCTTCATTGAGTTTGGTGGTTTTTCCAAGTGATTAAAAGCAATCAGCAGAAGTTTAAAAAAAAATTTTTTTAAGCAGAGTGAAAGATAGAGGCTGCTGTTCACATCATCATCTTGGCTCCTTCTCAGAAGCCATCATAAAAGCAGTTGCAGCTAAGAAGTCTCAGTATTAGCCATTCAAGAGGGGGGGGGAGTAAGAAATGTGGCACTCAAGCCCAAAGATGCCTGCGTTGTAGTCACCAATACCACCGGCTCTCAGAGTGCAGGGAAAGCGACAACCTGAGACAGCCCAGCTGTTGGTCACCATTGCTCAGCACAACCTGGAACTTGTAGTCCCCATTGGTGAGCATGGGAGGCAAATCCAAGGTGGGGATGTAGAAGGTGGAGGAAGGCAAGTTGTAAGAACCCTGAAAGGAGAAAACACACACAAAAATCTGTCAGCCCATATCAGCCAACACTTTCTGCTCCCTCCATCAGGTATACTAAGAGTGCCAATAGGTAACACTCAATAAGCAGATCTTTTACAGTATGAAATCAAGGAGAAATTACAGGTTGATAGGTATGGCCACTGAAATATTCCAGCCCCTCACTGGGAGCCAGCAGGCTCACCCAGTTTGCACAACTGAAAACATACAAACCAATGCACTCAAGCCTGTCAAAATCTAGAAGATGATCTTTTCTAGAAGCATGAGTGGGTTAGCTGGAGTCAGCAGCTTCTGACTACTCCATCGCATATAAGGCCCAAGCTGCCGCCTAGAGATGTCCCTATATGAGCAATGCACTAACTCTGAACCTTGCCTTTAGGACACAAGGAGCTGCTAAAAGCATCCCTGAAAAATACCCCGTAGGCTGCCCCTTTTCGGTTTACAGGATGCAGGTGTGGAGCAGAGTTGGGCAGAAATCGGACTGAATTAAAGGTCTGCAAAACTTGCATGAGGAATGCCGTTTTAAAACTCATCTTTCAGGCTCCAAGTATTGGTTTTCCAGAGGAAACCCAGCTATCTGTTGGAAAGACAGCCAGCTCCATCATTCCTTTACTGAACTTCATCATTCTCCCTTAATTTCTTTTAATGCACATGGGGCTTAATTATAGGTGCAGTGCACTACGGGGGTTTCAAATCTTTACATGGAGATGTATCTATAAGCTTTCTTATCTGCCCTGCCTTGATTATTAAACATGCAGCAAATTTGACTGCAAACCTTGGTTAAGCCTATCAGCTGTATGGAATCCCTGTCCTTCTCTGATGGACCTGCACATTCCACAGGGATGTGGAATTTGGTGGCATGCCTTGCAGCTGCCCATCTCATGTGGGATTTGTTTCTTTGGTTCCCAAGAGGGGGAAGCTTAAACTTACCGCTCTGAAGGGGCAATGGCAAGGAATGTCATAAGACTGCAATGGTTCCGGACATGGCTGGCCGGGAGGAATAGCCTGATCCAGTATGGCACACAAATCTTTATAGGTGCAGCTGCCAAGATCTTGCACGCAGGGGACCTTTATCCACATATCGCCAATCTTCTTCTCCAAAACAACCTCTCCCTAGAAGTAAACATTACACACAAACATTAATTTAACCTCCGACTTTCCTCCTCAAAAATCACCCACAGCTCAATGCTTACTATAGCTTGGACAACTGGCCATCCTACCTATAGGCCAAGGTTGGAGAGCCTGTAGTCCATCATCATTTGAAAGACCGCAACTCCCATTATCCCTCATTGTTGGCCTCATCATCATCATCGCCATTGATAACATCGATATATGGTGCCTCTTATTACCAGAGGCTGGGAACTTGTCAGTCTCCAGAAGCACCTGAGTGGGCTCTAATTTGCAGCTTTGATTGGAGTCAGCTCTTAGGTACCACCACAAGAGGGCAGTAAGGAGCAACAATTCATGATTTCTTTATGCTCCCCCCCCCCCCTGACTTGACCTTCACTGTAACAGATTACTGGGCAGTATGCAACAATAAAGAAACACAGAACAACACCGCAACATTCGACAGGCAGAGGCAATACGTAAAACTGAGAAGAAACAAATGAATGGCCACATTAGAGCAAGTTCTTGTCCCAGATATGCAAGTTCTTGTCCCAGATATGAAAAGCTCCTGCTTCAAAGTGTGCTTGTGTACAGAGGAACTGCTTAACCATTTCCTTCCCAGACACTGAACTGCTCAGAATTCCTTCTCCCCTCTGCATCTTCCCTCTCAATGAGAGAAAAACAAACGTGGATGGGTGTGTGCGCATGCGTGTGCATTTCTGAACAGACAAAGTGAAGGGGTAAACAGCTTCTGTTAAACCCTCTCAATCTGAAACTACCTGCTGCTTCTTCACAGGGTTTTTAAAAAAAACAAAAAACAAAAACCAATAATATATTTGAAGACGGCTTTCATATCTCCTCTCAGTCTCCTCTTATCCAGCCTAAACATACCCAACTTCCTCAATTGTTCCTCATAAGACTTTGTTTCCAGACCCTTGATCATCTTGGTCTCCCCTCCTCGGCACATGTTCCAGCTTGTCAATATCCTTCTTAATTTGTGGGCATAGTACTCCAGGTGTGGTCTGACCAAGGCAGAATAGAGCGGGACTATGACTTCCCTTGATCTGAACACTCGACTTCTGTTGATGCAGCCTAGAAGATCATTAGCTTTTTTTGCTGCTGCACCACGCTATTGACTCAAGTTAAGGTTGTGGTCCACCAAGACCCCTAGATCTTTCCCACATGTACTTCTGCCACACTTGGGTTTAAACATGCAACCTGGCTGAATAGGCAAGGAACAACCCTAATTAAGCCTCCCAGCTCCAACTGGTTTGAAAACAGGCCCTGCCTGCATGGTAGCTCACAAGGCCTCTCTTGCTTTCAGAGATGTTTCAGGAGCAGCTGAGCTTAGCTATTTTCCTTCCTCTCACTGAAGGCTGCTCTGTACAATAATGCCAGGCATTTCCCTCAATGAGCAAAGTTCCATTTTTCCGCAACATCGGAGAATTCAGGCATTTGCCGTGGCGCCTAAGTGGGCCCATGTCCCTCTGCCCCAGCTGCATCTTCACTGTCATCAGAACATAAGAGCCCTGATGGATCAGGCCAAAGACCCATCTAGTCCAGATTCCTCTTCTCACATCCAGATGCCTGAGAGAAGCCCCTAAGCAGAACCTGAGGGCAAGAGCACTCTCCATGCTTGCACTCCCCAGCAACTAGCTTTCAGAGGAATACTGGCTCTGACAGTATAAGGAGAACATACTGTGATTATTAGCCATTGCTAGCCTCATCTCCTCCCCATGGATTTTTCTAATCCTCTTTTAAAGCCATCCAGGTTGGTGGTGAGCACTGCCACTACAGTTTAACCGTGAAGAAGAAGAAGAAGAAGAAGAAGAAGAAGAAGAAGAAGAAGAAGAGGAGGAGGAGGAGGAGGAGGAGGAGGAGGAGGAGGAGGAGGAAGAAGAGGAGTTTGGACTTGATATCCCACTTTATCACTACCCGAAGGAGTCTCAAAGCGGCTAACATTCTCCTTTCCCTTCCTCCCCCACAACAAACACTCTGTGAGGTGAGTGGGGCTGAGAGACTTCAGAGAAGTGTGACTAGCCCAAGGTCACCCAGCAGCTGCATGTGGAGGAGCGGGAACACGAACCCGGTTCACCAGATTACAAGACTATCGCTCTTAACCACTACACCACACTGGTTCTCATGCTTTCCTTTGCCTGACCTGTCGCTTTGCATGGAGAGTTTGAGAAAACCAGAGGCAGTGTAAGGATATTCCCAGGGTGTATGCCCCACCTGATCCCACTGCTCAAGCGCCCGCCATTGCCTCCCCGAGTCTCTTCTCCAGCAAGCTGTTCTCTGACAGTGTCCTTCTTTAGGAATTGCCATTATGGACCAATGTGCTCTTGCTAAATAGGACGGGCACCAGGGAGAGTGCGCCAGCCCCAGCTCAAGGAGGATTCCTGTCCCGTTGTGCGAGAGTCCTAAAAAGCAGTACTGGACAGGAACACACAAGCAAGTCATGCTACCTCTTGTGACGCTTCTTCCCCATGTTTCAAAAAAGGAATCTTGCAAAAAAAATTAGGGAGCTTGCTGGAGGGGAGATGCAGGAAAGCAGTGTAAGTGGAGGGGTGGCAAGGCGTCCACTGGGGTCCCAGAAATGGTGGCACCCACAATGAGAATGAAGCAAAAGGCCACAGCTTTCTGAATGGGAAACGGGTGGTGCATGCATGCATACATACACACACGCACACAGGTTCCTCTTTGGAGGTCACCTCCTCTTTCCATATTGCATCTGAAGCCTCGTAAAAGGAAGTGAAGCTCACTTGCACTTCCTCCGATGCCTCATGTTTAAACTCTCTACATCTACTTGGTTATAAAGACTCATTACAGCCTTCTTTCTCATATCTCAAGCCCATTCGAGAAAGGTGCATGCTTTTGATGTGGCAAGATGGAATGGCAGACCACGGTTTGGCATTACAAATGTGAGCCCGGACTGAGCATCCAAGCACACACTTCTCCCTCCCTTGCAGCAATTTCCCGCCTCCTTTTCTGGTTTGCGGCAACCTCGGTTTGCCATTTTGGCCTAACGGGCCAACTATGGTTTGTGCTTGCCCTGCAGGAAAGAATAAGGAACCAAGATCGAACCCTCACACCAAGTCCGTGCGCTTGACAAATCATGGTGTGCTGTGGCACCTGGACCAACCCAGGAAGAATTCCATGTCTGCAGCTGTCCAGGGAATCAGTCACAGGAGAGGAAGTGGCAAAAAACAATTGGTAGGCTAAAGGCCTGATATAAGCTCAAGTGTGGAGCTGCTTATAAGAAAGGTCTTTAAGGAGGTTGAAGGGCTTCCATGCTAGTTAAGTCCTATAGGTTATCTCATGGTCAGTGGAGTGCATTTTCCTCTTCTGCTTCAGTTTCCCTGCAGGTCATCAGACAAGCTGGAACGTGTGCAGGGGGTCTGGAAACCAAGCCTTAAGAGGAATGGTTGAAGGAGTTGGATACGTTCAGCCTGGAAAAGAGGAGACTAAGAGGAGATATGATACGATAGCCTTCTTCAAATATCTGAAGGGCTGTCACATGGAATAGGGAACATGCTTGTTTTCTCCTGCTGTAGAGGGTAGGACTCGAACCAACAGATCCAAATTAAAAGAAAGGAGATTCTGACTAAACCTAACTCTCTGAAGGGAAGAGCTGCTCAGCAGCAGAACTGACTACATCAGAAGGTGGTGGACTCTACTTCTTTGGAAGTTTTTAAACAGTGGCTGGATGGCCTCAGGGATTCTGTAGATGTAAATTTGGCATTGTAGGGGGACTAGAGATCCCTTCCAACTCTATGATTCTACACACAGGAGCTCTGTGCTCCTGGTTCCTTCATCTCTAAAGCAGGAATACCACCACTAAACACGAGCATGAGATTAAAGACCGCTCTGAAAATCACCAGTAGAATTATACAATGGTACCTCTGGATGCGAACGGGATCCGTTCCGGAGCCCTGTTCGCATGCTGAAGTGAACGCAACCCATGTCTGCGCGTGCGTGCGTCGTGATTCGCCGCTTCCGCACATGCGAGTGACATCATTTTTGAGTGTCTGTGCATGTGCGAGTGGCAAAACCCAGAAGTAACACGCTCCGTTACTTCCGGGGCGCTGCGGACCGTAACCTGAAAACGCTCAACCTGAAGTACATTTAACCTGAGGTATGACTGTACTAGCAAGAGAGGTAAAGACCCAAGCGACTTGCATCATCGAAGTCACACAATCAAAGTTTCCAGGCCTAGGGCCCGGAAAGAGAAGGTGTTTGTGTGTAGGCAATTGACATACAGTGGTACCTCAGGTTAAGTACTTAATTGGTTCCGGAGGTCCATTCTTAACCTGAAACTGTTCTTAACCTGAAGCACCACTTTAGCTAATAGGGACTCCCGCTGCTGCCGCACCGCCGGAGCATGATTTCTGTTCTCATCCTGAAGCAAAGTTCTTAACCCGAGGTACTATTTCTGGGTTAGCAGAGTCTGTAACCTGAAGTGTATGTAACCTGAGGTACCACTGTATGCATATCTTAGCTACCAAGATTTTGATCAGATGTGTTGCTTCAATGCAACCCACAAACACAGACCAGCATGCTTTCGCCTGCGTTAGGAGTATTCTCTATAAATAATCACCATCTTTCCAAAAGGGAGGCCATTTCAATACTGACACTGCCTCTTCCAGGGTTCTCTGCCAAGCCCCCAAGCCCACCCCCTACCCCGCCCCACTTGGCTGCACTAAGAGGTAAGGTTGAGACTTAACACATGCAAATGAAACAGATTTCAACATCCTATTCCAGCAATGCAGGGGGTGGAACCCCCAAGGTCCCTCCCAGGTCTACAATTCTATGGTCGTGCAGTTGCTTAACAGGGGAGGATGCGGCTGGGCCCAGCCCGGTTCCTGCTGATAGGCAGTCAGGTGCTCAGCGGTGGTTAGCATAGCAGGAATTTCGAGTGCTTCATACCCACACCAGCAGAACTTGATCCCACTGAAAACCGCACAGTAACATTTCAGCATAGGTGGTCGTGGTAAGGCCAGCTCCTACCAGCCACAGGACTAAGGGGTTTGCTCAACTCAGCACAACATGTTTCTATTTCAAAAAGGGGATTCTGGAGCACTAGTTTGTCCCAGTTTTGTTTCTTTGGCCGTGGCAGCCTGTTAAGGGGTCTGAATTGTTGTGCAGAAGAAAGCTCCCATTTCTGCTCAGCCTACCTGTGCGACATGTCAAGTAGAAATGTTCATACGTCGTATACCTAATGACTAGATGTTTTAGGCTCAAATTACCCCACATTAGCACATTAGAGAAGGGAAACCTCTTATTAGGGAAAACATCCCTCAGGAGCTTTTCACAAGCCCTGTCCCATCTAAAGATTTGTATTATGCTGGCTGATTTACAGGGAGAAAGGCAGTGCACACCCCTCTGCCTTATCCTAAGGGATATTTCCCTTTTAAACACAGGACTGGATAGCTTGGTTGGTTAGAGAGCGGTACTGATAACGCCAAGGTTGCAGGTTCAGTCCCTGTATGGGACAGCTGCATAGTCCTGCGTTGCAGGGGGTTGGACTAGGCGACCCTCAGGGTCCCTTCCAACTCTATGATTCTATGACTTCAGTTCTCCATTCAGAGACTCGGACGGAGATGCTATGTCAATGAGAGAGACTCGTCCCATCTAGTGAAGTCCTTTTTTCCCCAGATCACATTTTCTTGGCTCATATTTTCTTGACATGCACTTACATATCAAATTCCTTTACTTGGAAAAGAAAAACAGAAAAGAAAGAAAAGAGGGGCCTGTAAATCTCAAATATATCCTCTATGCTAGCTCCTGCTACTGAGCTCTTATTCCCACCAGCCCCAGCCAGCACGGCCAATGGTCAGAGGTGATGGGAGGTCTAGCAGCGTCTAGAAGGCCACAAGTTCCCCATGCCTGTCCTTTTGGAAAAGATGTCTTCTTTCTGACCACAATTCTGGAGGGGAAGAAAAAGGAGGAAAGCGGGGAAAGCTATGGTCCACACCTGGATTTGGCATTCCTGATGCCCCAATGCAATCTAGTGCCAGTCCCAGATAGGCCTCGGTCCGCACTTCCACTTGTCCCATGCCTAAAAAGCACAGGTCCAAGCAGTTTTGCCTTTGTCCTGCCACTTTTCCGGGGTAAACCTGCAGTTTAGTGCAAAATGGGAACCAACGGCAACCTGTGGAAAACCCCATTGCAGATTGTTCTGACTCCGTGTGAAACCGCAGGTTTTCCTGGGAGAAAGCAGTGGGGCAAACGGAAGTGCAGAGGAGCCCATAGTTGCAAACAAGTCATGTTTGTCCTTGTTAGAGCACTGAAACTGTTCCCAGTGTGAAGGAACCACTTCTGCCTGGCTTGGCCCACCGGCCTTCCACATACATACCTGCAGAGGTGAAGTGAGGGCCACAGTGGTAGCTGCGGCTACGCTGACTGTCACATCTCCCGGCATCGAAACTGGATCTGGAGATACGGACAAACTCCTGATTACAGCAGGATCAGAGGGGGGGCCACAGTTCTGCCATGCGAAGTTTTGGATCTGAAGGGTTTAGAGGAGAAAAAAACGTTAAAATAAACGTGTGGAGCTTAAAGTGGAGGAAGGTACTCAGTCTGGCCCTTGTCATCACACTCTGCAAATAAAGCGAAGGTGAACATAGCGGAAGATTCCAAAGCAGACTTTTGTGGGAATCTTCCAACCAGCAGGCCTTGGTTAAGGGAAGCAGGAGTCCTATTTCAAACAATGCTCCATGGACCTTGCATTCCTGTCTTCTGATAACACAAACAAGCTTCTATCTACCCAGGCGTCACAGTACTGGAAAACTTGGCGATGCTGCACCAAGCAGACTATGCCATTGCCTTAGGCCAGCCCCCATATACCGCAGGAAGAGGCTTTATTTGGCAAAAGTTCTGCACCACTTAATCAAGAACAAAAAAAACTTACAAACAAAAAGGCATGAAACCTTAATTTAAAAATTGCAACAAAACCAGCAGACGTAATAAAATTATCAAAAGTAGATGAAACCAACAGATTTTAAGACAAATGCACATAATAAAATTGTATGGCTGGGCAGGCTTGCCCTTGGTGGTCTTCAATTCATTTCCCACCAGTATTGGAGGGCTGTTCCCCTCCGCTTTTGTCGGCAAGCATGCCAATGATCCATGTTCATCTGCAGGTGATGACAGCACTTTTAAGGTCACCTCAGGCGACGTCCATTTCCTAAGCTCTGTAATCAGAATCCAGCACACCTGGCAAGCATGCCTGCCGTCGAGACTCCAACTCATTCCCAGAAGTGCTTTTTTGGGGCTTAGGAGTTTCCCAATGTTTGATTCAGCCGTTGAACAGACTGGTTAGACAGGGGCAACTCCCCTTGGCCCCAACCCGTAAAACCTCTGTCATCTCAAGGGCACCTGCCTAGATGTTCCCAAGGATCTCTTTTGACAGAGTACAGCACCAAAATCTTATTTCATCACACAGCACTCCAGGCCTCTACATGTTGGAGCCGCAGCACTCCTCAGACACTCCGTGAAGCACATGGTGTCCTGCCCACTGTCCTCCGTTTGGGGTACAGCCCAACTTCAATGATTCACCAACCTTGAGAAAGGCACGTATCCTTCTAAGGCTCCCCCATCCCATTTCTCAGCTTAGGGTCCTTTATCAGAGATCAGACTCCCAACGTTTAACATTAAATAAGTGATATGGAAGGGTGTTCTCATGAGGCTCTCGGCTGAGATTTTTTCTCTCTAAAAAGCGGTGGTCTAAGAGCAGGGTTGGGAATCCTGTGGCCCTCCAGAGGTGGTTGGATACCCAAATCCCATCTGCCAGGATGGCCCATGCTCAGGGATAATGGGAGCTGAGTCAAGGAAAAACCAGTGGGCCACAAGTGAGGCACTACTGGCCTAAAGCAGGCTTCCTCAAACTTGGACCTCCAGATGTTTTTGGCCTACAACTCCCATGATCCCTAGCTAGAAGGACCAGTGGTCAGGGACGATGCGAATTGTAGTCTCAAAACATCTGGAGGGCTGAGTTTGAGGAAGCCTAGTCTAAAGTGTCCCTTGACCACCCACTTAGCCCAACAAGGACCAAAATACTGGGCAACCATATGCCACTCTAGCTTTGCAAATGAAAAGCCACATTGCCAAAACATGTCTAAGGCTGGGCATTATTTATTGTTTTACAAACTGTTTTACAAACTGTTTCATCGCAAAACAAACTCACAAGCCTCTGAGCCGTTTACAACAGTATAAAACAAAGCAAGAAAATAGATCGAGTAACGAAAAGGTATGGGCATGCCAGTAAGGTCTTCAGTGCAACACTGAAAAGAGGTTTCAGTTTTCTGCTGGTGCAAATGGGGACTTCCACAAACAATTTCCATGAGCCTCAAGAGTAGTCAATGCAGAGACTCTGGTTTGCCATAGCTCAGTAGATAGAGCATGAGACTCTTAATCGCAGGGTTGTGGGTTCGAGCCCCACATTAGGCAAAAAGATTCTGGTATTGCAGGGGGTTGGACTTAGATGACCCTCGAGGTCCCTTCCGACTCTACAATTCTACACTTCTATGATAATTAGAACATCCAGAGCAAGGCAGCAGTTGGGTGTTGAGCAATCGGCAAGAGTACACTACTTCAAAAAGTAGTAAAGAATTTAACAGGATACTGGGACATCAGCTGATGTTCTCAAGTTCACTGTGGGTCCTGTTAAACAGGCCTAGCTTTTGCCCTAAAGCAAGTAGAACTGTCAGGAGGGAAGGCATTGGCATTCCAGAAGCAAGATAACCTTGGCTTTCTTCCATCCTGCTCAGATATATGCTCAGAATGTACAACCCTCCTCCCACATCAGCATGTCGACACAGTTTGTTAGCCACAGTTACGCAATATACTTTGAAGTGATTGCTACGATTAGCTTTGTAACTTACTTCTGTGACTGGTGAAATGTGGACTAGAACGCTGGTTACGGAAATTATCCGAAACATTTTGGCAGTGAACAACACCCCACTCACCAAGACAATTATCGTTAGTTTGCCCTTGTAATTAAAGAACGACATTCCTCCTTCAAAGATAATTTTTTTGAAAGGGTAAATTAAAGTACTGAATAGCCATGGCTTTTCTAACCGGTTACATTTGACCAACCAGCTAACCTTTCATTTTGGACTTCACGGAGGTCACAGATGGAAAAGGCTGTTTGACCATGGAATGGACTTCCTCAGAAGGTGGTGGACTCTCCTTCACTGAAGAAGAGGTTGGATGGCCACCTGTCATGGATGCTTTAGTAGAGGTGCCTTGGGCATCTCTTCCAAATCTATGATTCTATGCTAGCTTCCTACAGGCATACAAGTTTTGAAAAGGAAGAAAGTTCCATCGTACAATAGCATGCCTGAATTCTGAAGCAGCACAGTTCCAGAAATGCTATGTGGCATTTCTGACAATGCAGATCAGCTCCAAATGTGACCCAAGAGGGAGGGGAAAACCTTAGGCACTTTTGGGAAAGGATGCAGCGGCTGGGAACAATTCCTTACCTGAAACCCTGGAGAGCCAGACAATGTGGGAACCAATGGTCTGACTCAGTAGGAGACAGCTTCCTATGTAGCCAGTATAGGAATTGAGCACACGTAATTCTGTATTGCTCATTTTGTATCATTTTTTAACCTATCACCATTTATTTTGGGTACTCTTTTTAAAATTATTCTCAGCTGTTTTTATGTTTGTACAGTGGTACCTTGCAAGACGAATGCCTCGCAAGACGAAAAAATCGCAAGACGAAAGAGTTTTTGGTTTTTTGAGTTGCTTCGCAAGACGTATTTCCCTATGGGCTTGCTTCGCAAGACGAAAACGTCTTGCAAGTTTGTTTCCTTTTTCTTAAAACCGTTAATACAGTTGCGACTTGACTTCGAGGAGCAACTCATAGCATGCGGTGTGGTAGCCTTTTTTGAGGTTTTTGAAGACTTTGGTGATTTTTGAAGCTTTTCCAAAACTTTTCCGAAACCGTGCTTTGCAAGACGAAAAAATTGCAAGACGAAAAAACTCGCGGAACGAATTAATTTCGTCTTGCGAGGCACCACTGTAAATTGCCTTCGGACCTAAGTAGAAGGTGATTCATAAACTAATAAAATAAGTTAATAAAAACAAACCATTCTAGACAGGAAAGTTTTGTCCCAAGGTTTAAATGTCTTGGGAAGGTTACTACTAATACAAAGCTGGAATTCAGAGGTAGCAAAAAAAATAAAAAAAAATTGGAGAGGGGGCTGTTTACAGTTAGGTTATGGAAGAAACACTTCTGCTTGTCATGACCTCTACAAAATTTCTTTTTTCAGACATGGAATGGAGAAGTGCTGTATTTCACATGTTTTGATTGCAAAAGATCACAGTTTCAGTTCTCAGCATCTGCATATAAGCAGGGCCCAACCACCAGCTGAAGTGATCTAGAGGCCCGCAGGTTCCCCATTTTTGATGTAGAAACTCTTATATTATACACAGTGCTGAACAGATAGAACAAATGACTTGCTTCAGGATCTTCTTGCTATAGAGAATCATAGAATTGTAGAGTCGGGCAGGACCACAAGGGTCATCCAGTCCAACCCCCTGCAATGCACATTTTGTCCAACATGAGGTTCGAACCCACAACCCTGAGATTACAAGTCTTATGCTCTACCAATTGAGCTATAATATTTGAGGATCAGTCGCAGTACGCTGCTTAGTCACATAGTGCCAAGAGAGACATCTAACTGCACTTGCAACATCGTTTTTATAGTTGAAATGAAATGGAAAGAAAGAGATATCAGCATATTGAGCAATGGGAGGTTTGGGGCGTGTAGGCAAATTCTGATTCAAATTCACATTCAACTGCAAAGCCTTGGGCATTTTCCTATTACCAACAGTTACTACTATCCATGGGCTTGTCCACACTTGAGCATTACTCTGCTGTTAACTCTCCCCCCATCCTACCCCACCAGTTTGAATTAGACCACAGAAATCCACACCCACACATGTGAATTTGCATATGAGGAACAACTTTGTTCTTTTCCCAATCATAACAGCAGGCTTTCCCTTTTGTGCTTGTGTTTGCCTTCAAATTTGTTGCTTCTATTACGCCAGTTAAATACTGACAAGGCATGTGCACAGAGCCTTTTTTTAAAAAAGATTCCCCACTCAAGAAGTTTGCAAAAGCACACCATCAGGCAACTTGCAAATTTGCTTGTACTTTTTTCTTGCAAATCTGAGGGAAGAGAGAGAGAGAGAGAGAGAGAGAGAGAGAGAGAGAGAGAGACTAAGTGCCTGACTCTCCATTACTGGCATGCTGGAAAAGAAATTAAAGTGATTGTAAACACTCAACACACACTTTTCGGATTGCTGCCCAATATATCTGGTAATGGTTTTTTAAATATGATTTGCTTTTGCAGTATTCAGGCTTACTGCAAATCTGAGGGATCAAAAAGATTGGGAGAGCACCGGAAATAGTTATGACCACAGCTGGGGGGGGGGGATGAAAGCACTAAGGAAGCAGCAGGCATGGAAAGGAGAATAGCAGAAAGTGACCATTAATCCACCCACCCCAAAACACTGAAACAAATAACCTGTACCCTGGTGGAGCAGTTTAGAGCCTCATTTCCCCTATCTTGGGCAAACCTGAATTTACAGGGGGTAAGTATTGAGACTACAGTGGTACCTCGAGTTAAGAACTTAATTCGTTCCAGAGGTCCGTTCTTAACCTGAAACTGTTCTTAACCTGAAGCACCACTTTAGCTAATGGGGCCTCCTCCTGCTGCTGCTGCGCCGCCGCTGCACGATTTCTGTTCTCATCCTGAAGCAAAGTTCTTAACCCGAGGTAATATTTCTGGGTTAGCGGAGTCTGTAACCTGAAGCGTATGTAACCTGAAGCGTATGTAACCTGAGGTACCACTATACTGTTCTTTGAGGGCAATGTCCTGTGGTCTGTGAATTAAATGGGAACGCAAACAGCTGCAAACACACAGGAAAACCTGGTGCAAATAAGTCGTACACTATAACTGTAATTACTACCTTACATCTTGACTTGTACAAGTCCACATGACCCAGGTGTAGCTTTGCATGTAGCCATATTCGCCTGGGTCAAGATGCTGCCGCTGAATGACACAGCAATAACGGTTGATGAGCTTACCAAAGATCATTACAGTCTGAAAACCTTCCAACCCAATAACTGGCTCTGATCCATCCCACATCAGGTAGGCAGACTGTAATGCTCCACATTCCACCTGTCACTAGTGACCGCAGTATTATCCTGGCAGAGTCAAGCAGGCCCAATTAGAGCCTGGACTATGTTATGCAAACCTATTAATGCCACACCACCACACTGATGAACATCTAACACTTATCCAATTAACACTTATCTAATTCACTTTCCGTAAGTGGCAAGCATTAACTGAAACACTAAACCCAGCATATGCAGAGTCATTGTGGCTGCCTATGGAAACAGAAGTTTAAGGACTGAATCTTAGCACAGCTCCCCGAGCGTCATCTAGTCCAACCCTGTGCAATGCAGCTGAAGCATCCCTGACAGATGGCCAGCCAACGTCTGCTTAAAAACCTCCAAGGAAGGAGAACCCACCACCTTCCAGAGAGTCCATTCCACCACTGAACAGCTCCTGATTGCAGCACATTGAAAGATCATGCCAGGATAAATTTATTAATCTTTAAGGTGCCACAAGACTCTTAGCTTTGTTGCTAGAGCTTCATTAATTATATCGACTTTTGGAAGGGGCTACCGTAGTTATCAATGCAGACAGCAACAGAGAGGCTAAAGGAAGCAGGCAGCGTCAACTGTGAGAATAGCCTCCCACCACATGGAGTGAGAAGAGTTTAAGTGTTTTCCACATGCAAATGGACCTCTGTGCAGAAATGCACTTATAGCCTGAAAGAGAAAGCAATTTTCTGAAGGCTTTTGCAAGGCACACACTTCTGTAGAAGCAAATTTAGGAACCGAGAAATATGTTGAAGCAGAGATTGCTGACATAGTGCTCTCCAGATATTGGAGTGCACCTGCAATAGACCCCAGCCATCATGGCCAAAGGTCAGGGATAAGGGGGGTAGCAGTTCATCCAGCAACATCTGGAGGAAGCTATGCTGGCTAGCCCTGCCATAATGGGCTATCCTAGCAGAGGTGTGTGTGACTTACCAGTGCCAAGATGGGTACCACCAGTGTGCAAACATTGGAGACATGCCCCCCACCTGAATATTTCCCATTTAACAACGACACTCCCATCCCACACTCCCTTTAATATTAAGTTTTATTAGTTTTCAATTACAATCCAATAATAGCCTCATTATAACAATATCAATTTATAATACAATTATTAATACCAATCGTTCAAATCCAGAATTATATAATTTAGATAAAGTTGCCCCCCCACGTGCTAGATTTGATGATTTTCTTTACAGTAGTTCTGCATTCCAAAATCTTAATTTCAATTATTTCATTTCTATACCGCTTTATATTTTTAAGAAATATAAATCTCAAAGTGGTTTACAGCATATTAAACATCATCAATAAAACAATGCAGACTCAAACATTTCTGAAGAAAGTTAGATATCAAGTACAGTCAAAGCAACACAGTTAACAGGAAACCAAAATACCACCTCAAAAGATTTCAAAAGAAAACACTACAAAGGAGGTCAACTACAGAATACATATTTAACACAAAGTTAACAAAAAACAAAATCTTAAAACATTTCAAAAGAAAACACTGCGAAGATAAGTCAAATATAAAATGCACATTTAAGACAGCATAATTAACAAGAGAATAAAATATTATAAGCATGACACGGCTGTTAGGCAGGCACAAAAAGATGGGCCACAATAATAATCCCTCCTCCAACAAATGCACTTCTATTCGTGTTGACACATTAAATGATTTATAAAACCGCAAGGGAGGAACTCAGAACTCCTTGTTCTTCCTGTGTGCGGCAATGATTCTGTCCGTGGTGCTTCTTCCACCCCGCGCTCCCACCCCGCAAGAGATGCCGAACAGCTGGCCCCTTACCTTGGTGAGCCTCAAGGGCCAGTGTTTGTCCAGCACGGCGAACCGCTGTTGGGGAGGACCCCCGACCACAGCTGGCCACATCTGCAGGGCGCACAGCGCCAGCGAGAGCGCCAAAGCGGGCATTTCTGGGTCTGCTCCGGAACGCAGGAAGGCGAGGCTGAAACTGAACGCAGCGCCAAGGAGACCGAGGAAGCGAGGCGAGCAGGCGGATCACAAGCGCGGAAAGGGCGGGTGCAAAACGAGACGCTGGACTTTAGTTGCTCAGGAGCTGGAGACAGCAAGCACCTGACACCGTTCCAAGCAAGCGCAGCAGGAGACGCTTGCTCAGTTCAAGTACCGGCTTGTCCTTTCCCCCGCAGGCACTAGACACACAGGTTCCCCTCCTTCCTCTAAGCATTTAAAGAGGGATCTCCCCCCCCCCCCTCGAGATCAGGCACCGGGAAATGATCACCCAGCATGCCCTTGATGGAGGGAAGCGGCTCTGCCCTCTGCTGGGATGGAAGGCGCATTTCCCCCAGATAACGCAGGAAAGGGAGAGGAAGAGGAGGACGCAGGGGCTTCCATTCACGCGCAGACCGTGTTTCATTGATTAAATAAAAGGTCAGGATCAGGCATTCGAGAGCATCGCATCCTTCACACCCCACCTGTGGCTTGGCTACTCTAGAGCGATGAGGCCAGGGCCCTTTGCACGCGCACAAAGGCATCTTGTGTAGCCATAAATTCCAGAGCCTAAGAAATAGTTTTGTCGGGAGGGAGAGAGAGCGAGAGAGCCCTGTTCAAATAAAGTGGTACTTATAAACGGGAACTTCAGGTTTGACCCACTTTTGGGGAATGGTTTTTATGTATTTTTTAGTTTGAGGGCCAAGGGTTGTTGGTTATAATTCATTTGTTAATAATAAGGCTACACTTCTATACACATTTACCTGGAAGTAAATCCCATTAAAATCCGTGGGATGCAACATGTATAGGAATGCAGTGTAAACATATAATTGCAGGTGAATGCAGGGGACTCAAATTACAAACAATAATTTACTTAAAGTTCATTGAAAAGATGCATACATTGTCATTCTGTGGAATGATATCCAAGGTAGTGTATGCAAGGGGTGTTTTTGTTTGTGAGTAGAGATATTAAAAAAATAAAACAACCCTTCAAGCTAAGAAACAAAAATCCTGAAGGAAGCTGAGTTATGTGCCTCATTCACTTGAATTCACAATACCTTAGTTTCTTAAAGGATAATATATCTGGCTGATGAAAACTAAAGCATCTGATGCTTGGATGCTGAGCAGGTTTTGCTCCACCGCATTACAAATTCCAGTCATTCACTTTTATGGGAGGAAGTAAAGATGCATCTGCTCAGGCCTCAGGGCCACCATCCCTTTGGGGGCTAAATCTGCCTTCATCCTCTGGTAAACGCCCTCTGCCTCAGTAACTGGATCTGGTGGGAGACAGAGGCCAACAACACCTGGGGAGCTACACCTTTCCCCATCCCTGCCACAGGTGGGCTGCTGTTGCGGATGGCAACTGTTGACAGGGAAGGGTAAGAAGCCATTCAGCAACCTCTGGGCCAAGGGTACATGTGTACATGGTGTGGGTGGGTGGGTGTTGTATACTGCCTCTTCAAGAGGCAAGCCCAGAAGGGCTCAGCATAAGTAGGTCGTGTGAGAGAACTGAGTAGGATTGTTTTATTTTTGAGGCAGAGACCTATGTTAAGTGGTTGGGCCAGAATAAACTTCTCTTCAGCTACCTGAGAGGCCCAAATGGACTACTAATCAGGGCCAGTTTCCCACTTAAGTTGAACTTGCTTTTTAGTATTCTATTGAGTCCCCAGAGTGGCTGGGGAAACCCAGCTAGATGGGCAGGGTATAAATGTATTATTATTATTATTATTATTATTATTATTATTATTATTATTATTATTATTATTATTTATTATTACAGTGGTACCTTGAGTTAAGAACTTAATTAATTCCGGAGGTCCGTTCTTAACCTGAAACTGTTCTTAACCTGAGGTACCACTTTAGCTAATGGGGCCTCCCACTGCCGCCACGCCGCCGGAGCACGATTTCTGTCCTCATCCTGAAGCAAAGTTCTTAACCCGAGGTACTATTTCTGGGTTAGCGGAGTCTGTAACCTGAAGCGTCTGTAACCCGAGGTACCACTGTATTATTAATTCTTTGGCCTGAGATCTTTGCCGTGGGCAGGAGTGGCCCATCTGGTTTCAACACCTGCCCTCTCCCTCCAAAGCTTCACTTACCAGGGCCATAAGGCAGTGCCTTCCGGCAAGTTCTCGCAAGATCACGCGGGAGTTTCACAAGATCTCACAAGAGTTCCGACCCTGGAAGCTGCTGCCATAGCCGGAAGCTGCTGCCATAGCCATCAAAGCAGGATTCCACCAACAAAAGCATCTGCTTCAGTCTACCGCATGGGCAGGCCGGCCCTGGACTTGGGCATCTGTAAACAATAAACAGCCGAGTTATTAGAATAAATGTGTTGCTGTTCTCCCATATTCAACAGAGGTGAGGGCTCTGTACCGATGCCTGAATTGCAGGTGTGGCTCAGCCCCCTCACCTTTTGCTTCATTCTCCTTTGCTCCTATTTTAGAAGGAACAGGCATTATTTGGCTAAATCTGCAGACGGCAGGATGTGTTTGTGCATGAATTTAGCCCCCAGACAAACACACACACTTTTTCTCCCACAGCGGCTACCTCAGTCTGCCTCATGGGTGGCCCTGCAGGCAAGGATCTCCCAGCCCTACCTGCATGCAACTTCTGCATGCAAAGCAGATGCTGTACCACTGAACTTAATTCACTTTTCTCCTCCCCACCTTTATCTTCAGCTGGAGAACTGGAGAGCCTAGGAAACTGTAGGGGAGACTCTGTTGACTTCTCCACTTTCTAGTTATGCTGAATATTCCAATGGAAATGCACCATAGAGGTGGGGAACCTTTGGTGCTCCAGATGCAGAACCTCAGTTAGTTAAGAATTTTTATTGATTTACTTGATTGGGGGGCAGCTGCTCCTCCTGCCCCCCCCAGCTATGTCCATGCTGATGGAAGTTGTAGTTCAGCAATATCTGGAGGGTTTCACATGTGCCATAAAGATTAGAGTGTAGAAGCAGAATGGGGGAGAACCAGGTTCAAATCCCAGATCATGCATCTCAATAGGTGACCAAATTGTCATCTCTCACCCTATATAGATGTTGAGAGGATAAATCGAGAGTGGGGCATCATGTACTTGATCTTGAGCTCCTTGGAGGAAAGGTAGAATATACATTTTACACATACCATAGAAATTTAGCAAAAGCAGAAGACAACAATAATTGCAGGAAGCCAGCTGAGCCGGAGAGCTGGTTGGTAGGATGCCTCCACCAAAAAATCCTAAAGAAACCCTCAAAATCTATTTACTGTGCACAAATGATGGATAGGCAGGATAGTGGTTGTGGACTGGCCCATTACTTTCTCTACTGGGCTGGATGAAATTGCCTACAAGAGTTTCTCCAATGCTGTTGTTATATTCCATACCCACCAGGTCAAAGTCATGGGTCGTTACTGCCCTGTATATAAGGAAAGAATGAACAGAAGACTTAAAAAAAAAATTATTTAAATGTGTGTCCTGCTTTCGCCCACCCCGAAAAGAAAAACTAAAAGTGGCTTACAGCAAATGAAATATGCAAACCATAAAAGCAAATCCACAAAAAGCATTAAACAACAACCATCAGAAAATATTATCTTTCATAAATGACAGGTGAGCTAGACCAACGCATCTTCTGAGAAAATGGGAAGCCATTATGCAACTGTATGGCGCATGTGAATCAGATGTGGAACTTACACACAGGTTTTTTTCCCCTCCGGGCACATACATTTAACCAAAGAGTTTGTTGCATTATCTGTAAAAGATGTGTTAAGGTGTTCTTATGGGTGGAAGTCTCTGGGAAACAAGTGTGAGCTGCATTTTTGGGTGTGCAGAACACATGGCACTGAAGCAATCTTTTGATGATATACTAAAAGGAGGGAGGGGGTTGTTATATGTTATTTACATGGGAAAGGCCCTGTTTAACCCACACTCTAGGTGTAACTTACTGCTGTTACACCCACTCCACTGACTCAGCCAGCCTCTTATCCAACCTTGCCATGCCACCGCCACTCAACTCTTATCCTCATCTCACATATTCAACCTCTCGATCACGTTGGAGGTCTGCTTTTATTTATTTTCTTTCTGCTTCAGTTTATTTGGTCTAAAGACCATAAATATCAAATGCTGCATACAATTTTCAAGATACCCATAGCAGAGAGAGAGAGAAAATATTATATACATGCACACAAATTGTGCCTTTTAGAATATGTGTACAGTATTGCAAAATCCATGAGCAATCAGAAGGGAGATACACCAAGGGGATCCACCTTCTGTCTCTCAGGCCCAGCACTACAAATGCAGTCAAAGGGTTGTCCAGATTCCTGGCAAAAATGGTGGAACTCTTATGAATGACAGTGACTCCCTACACCACTGCCCTCCTCACATTCCTATCCATCCTCACCTTAGGATTGCTCCCTTAAAACTTACAATGCACTCCGTAGAACTTTGCAGGTAAAATTCCACTGTTAGCTTTGTAACAAAAGTGTAAGTCTACAATACTACCCACTTTCCTGAGATTAAACCCTATTAAGCTTGAGACTTCTGAGAAGTTATGTATGTACAGTCATACCTTGGTTCTCAAATGCCTTGGTACTCGTACGTTTTGGCTCCCGAACGCCGAAAACCTGGGAGTAAGTCTTCCGGTTTTCGAATGTTTTCCGGAAGCTGAACGTCCAATGCGGCTTCCGCTTGAGTGCAGGAAGTTCCTGCAGCCAATCAGAAGCCACGCCTTGGTTTTCGGAAGTTGAATGGACTTCCGGAACAGATTACATTCAAGAACCAAGGTACAACTGTATGTCGGTTGCTTTAGGTTTATTTGTCAATAACATCTGGAATGCTCCTGCATTAGATAAATCTGGAGTGGCTAACCTGTGGCCCTTCAGATGCTCCTGAACTGCAGCTCCCATCACCCCCAACCATTGGCCATGCACTGGCTGGGGCTGATGGGAACTGGAGTCCAACAACAACTGGAGGGCCCCACAGGTTTCCCCACTCCGAGATGAAGGGACAGTCTTGTTGACATCTAATCATGCAGTGCATGAGTCAAAGAGATGTTAGCTTTCCATAGCTTGTTGTCTCTACCAGGTGAGTACTAAATCCTGCAACTGTGCTCGAAAGGAGAATGGAGAGAGGGAGCATGTCTCTCCAGGACCTTGGAGGTGCCAAAGTCATCTGAAGAGCTATTGCTCTCCTTCTTTAAACCACATTTTCTGGCTGCACGAGAGGGAGCATCTGGAAGGTCAAGGAGGACACGAGAAAGCTTGGCTATTTTTAGCAGGCCTGGGT